CTGAAACTAACAGTACAGACGATCTGTGACTGTATGTACAGTCTGTGAATCCTTTCAGGTGTTCACTGATGCAGAAATACATTTTATTATCATACTGCATTACTCAATATTGAAATGAATCCATGTCAGAAACATTTAAAGTTTTAAGTAAAGTAGCCTAATTAATGTCTGTTATTGTTACTATCACAACACAGCAGTGACGTAGAAATTTGATTCATTTTAAGATTTGCTGCTATTGTCATTATTCTAATGTGCTTCATCAGGATGATTGAATAAAATATAGATGTATTGATTAGACATGTTTTTGATAAATTGGTATGTTAATCGAGTAATAGGCAACTTTTCTTTCTTTAGAATAAACAAAATTAGTTGTTAGATTAATCGACTAATCGAAAAATTAATCGTTAAGATTAATCGACTTGAAAAATAATCGATATGTAGAGCCCTACAAAAAACATTAGGTTCAGTTCTATGAATACCCCACAGCAAGGAGACTGCAATCTTATTTTTCACCTTTTAATCCAACTAATTAACACAACTATCTTGTGAGTCCCCCTCCTACTGCCCCCGAGCACCAGGGTAAATGTGTGATTGTAAATCACAAGACAGAAACTGCAGCTGACTACAATCAGACAGATTTGTGGTCTTGGAAATCAGTGGCCACGTGTACTTGAACTAGAAGTTCTGCAGCTACTGCAGAGCACACTCTGTTTAACAGTGACAATGGTTTAATTGTTTTTTTTGATTACACAGCACTTTATTTCAACTGTATTGTTCATTTGTGGATAACAATGTTCTTGTAGGATGATTTGTTATTTTATAAATGACTCATTTCCTCATTTTGCTATTATTAAGCAATACTTGTGATGTTTGTTTGTGATGTTTGTTTTGTGAGTGAATAAGCTGACTATTATGTCCAACAGACAGTTGGTAAGCTTATGACAAACTACAAGGGCATCCAATTTGTCCTGCCAGGCATAAAAATGCTTTAGAAAAAGAAAGGAAAGATTTTTGACCAAAAAGAAGTCAGAGGAGTTTGCGAACATATGTTCTTAAATATTCCATTAACTTTACATTTTATAAACGATGTGAGAGGAATATGACATATAACATATCTATGTGTGATCGATGTGATCTGTTCAATCTAGGAATCGTTACACATTTAGACCATATGTTTCATAACAGCCAAAACACTTTGGCAGCTCGAGAAGCAGCCAAATCGTAAACTAACGTTACATGAATTGGGTCAGCCTCCATCGCTGAAACATAACACCATCAACTTTCTGGTTATTGGTAAATTGTTGGTTCAAATGACAGCTTTATATTGACAACTTTTCTTGTACGGTCAACATCATAAACAACAAATCATTGGGCTGGCAACATTTGCAACACGACGGTGTTTTCTTTGTCCGAGATTAAGCTAGCTAAACAGAATGTTCTCATGGCAAACCGTGACGCTGTATTCAAATCTTGCGGAGAAAATCGGTCAAATAGCAGTTTTATGAAAATACGTATTGTAATTGTACACATAGTCCCCATCCTAAACACTGTATCATATAAAAAACAAATCCAAAAGTAGCTGCTTATGTGTTAATTTGATATAACGTCACATCTTCCAGTTAGTTAATTTAAAATAAAGGGAAAAAAATATATGACGTTACATAACCGCATGTATTTACTTGTTAATGACAGCTTTCTCTAAGTTGGAGAGCAAGTTCGAGATTTATCCCTTGACTTATCTCGGGTCCCGAGTAGTAACGTTAACTTAATTTAGCTAGCTAGCTAGGTTTAAACGCAAACGTGGATCGGTCGTCCAAGTAGGAGAACGTCCTATTTACTTCCTTTTCGGTGTCAGTGAACGCAGCAGATCTTGCTAACAGCTAGCATAACTGTCCAGCTACAGCTAGCTTAACGCCCTCGTCGGCTGCCAGTTTCAGAGATCACCGATTAAGAATCAGACTCTTACCTTTTCTGCGGAAACGTCAATTGCGGACTGGTTGTAAAACGACGTGACAGTCTTTGACCGCTCTCTTGCCATCTCTGAAAACCCCTGCATTGAGGACGTAGACCGAAATCTGTGGCTCCCCGTGCTTGACATCGGCGGCACTGTTTTGGTGAGGGTTGCCGAAAAGAGTCTGCCGAGCCTCGGCCTGGCCCTGCAGGTAGCACCGCTCAGCATCTCTACCGCTATACTCGCCAGTCCAGGACGCATTTGGAGACGAGCTGTGTGTGTGAACAGGGCTGTCCTGTTCCCGTACAAGCACTAAATTCGAGGGTTACTACGAGGCCATCAGTGTCGCGTCCTACTGTAGCACAAAGGCATGTATCTGAGTACAGTAGAGAGGGTCCAGAAAGGGCTTTGTAAGCATTGGCCATTCGTTGAGAGAGTCGGGGCGACGACGTGACAGTTAAACCAATCAGTCACCCAGAGGCGGAGCAAAGCTGCACCAACACCCCCACCACTCATCCAGTACTGCAAGCAGCAGCAGAAACAGTCAGTAAACAACTGAGTACCTATTGTAGCCGACTTGTGGCTCAAGGGAACACATTTCAAGATGCAGGAACACATAAATGTTTAAAAAATCATGTGCGTTTTCCTGTGTTCTCTCTAAAATAATACCTAGAGCTTTAGTTAGTCCTTATTTCATTGTACATATCAGATTACTTTAACAGCTGCGTTACACTGCTGAAATTATCTTGGTAAAGGGTAACACATTAGCAACAATAACATTTTACACACATGGCCGGATTTACCTGGCAAGTGGCCCCAGGGGAACAAATGTAAGCTACTGTTGGACACCTGGATCAATGACCCACCACAGTGGCCAGATGTTGTTTACCAGGATATCTGATTCAATCACTGGCTAAGTGTGGTTTGTAATTAAAAAACTGTCAATCTATGCTGCTACTAACGATCCTTTAGTAGGAACTGTAATCAGCATCATTTAGCTATTTACCACACTACCTAACATGTTTGACATGACACTTGTTTAATATAACCACTGTATGTATAAGTCCCCGTTAAAAAGTAACTACACCCAAACATATTTTTGAGTAGTACATTTCTACTTATAAAAACACTAAAACATATTGTGAGCAGGTAAGAATATTTTTTTCAATAGATGAAACAAACAGAAGCCATTATTTTAAGGCTTGTGCATACAAGGATGATCTGCTGAGTATAAAAGCAGGTATAAGTGTGGCCAGTGACCTGCGAGATTATGATTCCCTCCTAATTTTATGTTTTACACTGAGCAGGGACCAGATTTTGAGCAGGAGTTGATCAGTGAGTTTATTTTAAAAACAATTTTAATAATCATTGTTTTCCTTTCAATAATCATTGTTTATTATTCATCTGTTATAAATACCTTGTGTGGGATCTAGTCCCAAACTATTTTTCGACCTGGAGACTTTATTAGTTATATTATCCCAACACAATCTCAATCACTCTCTAGCTTAGTTTGAAATAAGAGCTGGAGACCAAACCTTGCAGGAGTCTCACTAAACATCTGAAGGGAAAATCTACACATACCAGAATTTATCATGATCTACTCTAGTTTCTTTGCAAACTTAAGCTGATATCTTATAACATTTCTACCTTTATGCCTGCCGCTTATAGCAATCTTTTTAAAAATTTCCTAGTTATTCATGGAATAATGTCATTCTACTTCGACTAATTGGTTTAAATAATTTAGAAGAGCTCCAGAGGTATCCTTACTCAGAAGTCACCAGCAGATTGTTGTCTTACATGCAAGGATGAGACACACTTTGTCACAATGACAGAGTTATGGAGTCTGTTCAGGTACTCACACAACAAGGCAAAGCAAAAACTCAGTCCATCTTCCTACATTATAAAAAATAAAAAAAGCTTACTCTTTTTACATATTAACTGCCATGTATGAGATTGAAAACTATGAATTGTATTTATCCTACCCTATAATATATTACATATTATCTTCGGTAAATGTTTCGCATAGTCTTTTCTCCTTGATTGCTCTTTATAGCATTATGTAATGTTGGATGCAATGAGCAGCTTTCAGAGGGAATGATCACAAGTTGAGGAATCCTGGTTGAGATATACATGTTTTCATTCTGCCAGGGACCTTGTTATGTAATAAAATTGAAAAATAATATCCAGTTAATTAACAATACAAGTATTTTAAATAAATTCCAACTAGATCTACAACGATTAATCAATTATTAATCTGCAACTATTCTGATAATTGATTAATCATTTGAGTAATTGTTTTGAGAAAGAATAAATGTGGATATTTTTCAAATTTCTTTACTCCTCTGTCAGTAACCTGATTATCTTTGGGTTGTGGACAAAGCAAGACATTTGAATTTGTTATCTTGGGCTTTGGTAAAACACTGATCGACATTTTTTACCATTCATAGACTTAACAACAACAACAATAATAGACAATGATAATAACAGTTAGTTGCAGCCCTAACACCAACTGAATATTAGACTCCATCGCACTGCTTTAAACACGTAAAAATAAGTAAATCATAAAATGCTGTAATTTGTTTTATTAAATCAAGACATTTGTAAAACTTCACAACACCTGAAAACTTCACAACACCTGAAAACATGGTGGGTTGCGCGCAGTAGAACTATTGTAGAATTACACATTAGAAAGTAACACGCTGTACTGTATTCCTTTTCCCAGCAGTCAGTTGCCAGGCCGCATTATTAGCAGTCAGGAGTGTTCACATTCCTTAATGTTATAAGAACATTACAAAATTACATTAAACAGAAAGGGCCAAAGACAGGCTTTAAAATCGCAGACAAGATTCATTCACATAAAATATGTACATCGAGTCCTATTCATAAAGGCCACTGACTTTATGAATATTTGTTGGTATAACCTGCAGAAGTTCCTCCTTTGGGGTAGCACAAAATCCTGACATTTATTACAATATAAAATATTTATGACAAAGTGGCAACATTAGCATTTATTTGGAGTCATGTTTCTGGATGAATCTTAATCAGCAGGGTTTTTTTTTTTTTTTTTTAACAGTTGAGTAGAAGTTAATTTAATAAGGAAGCACAACTAAAACACAAACAAGATCAAAATACCTGATGCCAAGGACTGGACATTTTTTTTATATCCTGCATCTTTAAAGATACAAAAACAAAGAATTGTGTGTCACATAGCGACAATTGACAATTCTTTACCCCTGGCTATGCTACTATTCCAAACAGCATCAACTTTAAGTATATCAGTAGGAAATTCTGCAATTTAAAAGGAGTTTAAATTTTAAACCATACATTTTCATAAAAAAAAAAAATTGAATGCTTGCGTTTCTTCGATCGCTCTGGCTGCTCTTACAGATCTCACTGATCAACAGAACATAAAAATCACTTTCCCCAAACAAATTATTGAGAAAATTTTAAAAAAGTTTAAAAATCCTCCCAGACAAGATCACCACAGTTTCTATTAGCAGACTGAATGGCATTTTGGTGTCATGTGAAACAACCGGTATGGATGTTTACTTAAACATTAGGTAATCTTCCATCACGTTTTCAAGACTTCATTCGACCTTAAAAAAAAAATAATAATACCATAATTTGGTACATTCACCGCCCCCCCAAACCACAAAAAACTATGATTTGTTTCAGAACACATACACATCTGTATGACTTCCATTCATGAGTTGCAGTCACACACCCCATGTTGCTCAGGAGGACTCTTCTCTCTTCCACACTATCACCATATTCTTATCACTAAGGGCCACCAGGAAGTGGAGCTCAGGGTCCATTGCTACACTGTTGATGGACGGGCCCTCTACCTGGCTGAGGCCCTGCCTTACCGGAGCCGGCCACTCCAACACCTGCAAAAACAAAGTAAAAGTTAGCGGCCGAGTGGTGAGCAAAGCAAAAGATATGAGGAAGAGTTACATTGGATGGCTCTCCAACTAAATATTAATGATCTGTTGCTAATGGAAAGGATAATATGCAAACCAAATAATCTTATAATCAATGGTTAAATGATCACTCCATTTCTTGATTTTTATCTTCAGGGCAAAAGAATAAAATGAATAAAATAAATCTTAAAAAGGTTTTTTTTCTTCTTTTTTTTTAAAGTCATCTGATCAATGATCCACTATCTTGATTAACTTTGCTGCGATATAGTCAACATTAATTCATTTAGATGGATGGTGACAGCGCCACTTAAAGTACATTCATAAAAAAGTATAACTAAGAAGCTTTCAACATTAAGAGTCATAAAAAGTCAGCCTAGTCCCTCAGAATAAGCCACAGGGCTCTGTACATGAAGGTCATTACTGTTGAGCTATGGGATAATTATGAGAGCGCACACCCAAAATGTCAGTAATCATCCCTTATTATACTTAACTATGTAAGTATAGTCAGTCTGTAAACAATAACAGATGTTTACAATGGAGAGTTTAGGTAGTAATTTTACTGTTCACCACTCCAAATGCCTTCCAAATAATTTTGGCTGACCTCTGGGTTCGTTTTCAAACAGTCTAACAGAAAAAAAACTACACGTTCCCCAACAATATTATATGAAAGCAGAATTGTAAGTAATGGGATATTTAGAAGAGATGGATACCTCGGTGGGCTGTATGGGTTTCCCCGTCTGGAAACAGTTTTTCTCCAGGTTGGTGACATGGTATGTCCATAGCCTGCCTTTGTCATCACCACACACTATGTAAGCTTGGCCTAAAGAGAGAGGAATGAACACACACACACACACACACACACACACACACACACACACTAACATCAGAACACAGTTCAGACAGGCCTTTTCCTCTTTATGCAAACAAAAAAGCTCAATACAGTATACAGTGTCTCAGTTTGAGGCTGGATTGAAGTGGAACACACTAAAACAAAACAGGAGTCATTCTTCCGGGATTGGGACCATACAGGATTTTGTTCCCGCTGATTGGGAGGGGACCAGAGTATTTTTAATCTGTCATGTGATTCGGACAGGAGTATTTTTATGGGAGTGAGATGGGACTAGAGTGAAAATCCACTCCCGTGTCACCCTCTAGTTGAAGGGCACTTCTCTCTGACATTTGAAGGCAGGTGTTACAACAGGGAGAACAGTGAACCAATCTGAATTTACACACAATGGCCAGTGATCGATAATATGTGTTTGTTTGTGTTGAGTAATGCACCTCTTTATCGGGGCTACAAAGTAAATGGGTGATTTAAAATGGAACTGCTCATTTACACCAAACTATTTGTCCATACATTTTCAGACCACTTGTGCACCATTTCTGCTTCACATAGTTTAAATGAATTAATTCCCCCAGTATATTCATCAAATGTGGAAGTTAATTAAAGTAAAACATTCAAAAAAAAAGGAAAAAAAAAAAAGATTGATGTCAAATTTTGTGTGTCATTTAACACTTTTGGCACCAATTACCAATCTACCTTTACTTGAGAATAAAATCAACTTCTCCATGTACAATATTTACAGGACAAGCTACTGGACGATAAGAACGGCAGGTAAACTGATCTGGTGAGCGCAGGGAAACTGCATTCTGCCGCTTTTGGCACCCCTTTCTACTACCTACTAAACTCTGCAAGGTCTGCTTAACAGTATTTTATGTTCAGTTTTTTTTTGCCTCTCACTTTTATGCCCTACCATTTGTCTGCTATTTAGCATGTGTTTTAATGGTGATTTTGTGTCTTGGTGAGTAAAAGGCTTTTCGAATCTTGGTGTACAACAATGTTATATTTTTGTCTATTATATTTATATGGTAATGTTTATTTGATTTTCATTATCAGAAAGTGTACACTGTACAGAGCTTTTGTGGCATGGTAAATAAGTAGTAATTTGCAGCACTCAGGTACTGAAACAAGTATATTCATAATTCATTTCTCAGGTTAGATGCAGAAGATGATTATTTGAAAATGAAAACAAATTATTATTATTATTTTTTTTTTAAACAGGCACCTTTTTTCAGACAAAACGCCTAAAATAACATACCCAAAAGGAATCAGGAATAACTCCTCAACTATTTGGCCTAGATGCATAATTCTGGTCTCCTTTGAAAAGTCAGAAGCTAAGGAATATAAATCCATTGTATATTAATACATTTTCAAAATGTCCATATTTTGGTAATATTTACTGTTAAAATGTTGACTTAGATATCTTTAAAAACACTTTCTGTCCATACAACCAAGTTCCAAATGACATAACATTGAAATATTGATAAACACAGTAAATATTCATCAACATTCCTGTCACCAAAAGCACACCCATGCTTTACAGGCCTGCAGATAGAACGGAACATCCCACAGTGATGGGGGGGCATCAATCGATCCGGCATGAGCAGACCTTTTCATTTGGTACCATATCTATGCATCTCCAACGGGTCGGCCACAAAATGGCAAACACTGTTAACTCAAGCGGCATGTTTCCTCTCTGCAGAAATGTTCGCAGCTCGCAGGAATTGCGCAATAAAATGGCACCCACTTAGACTCTGAGCAACAACATCCGTGGGTTTTGGAGTTAAAACGTCAGAAAATATTTTTTCAATCAGAAATTTTGCCCAAAGCACCGTTGCCCCCGGTATCGGGGGGCATCTGTCTTCAACAGGTTGGACAGTGCATATTAATGGACATCTTAGCTTTTCAGCAATGTAAATATGCCAGAGTTAGCCGAAAGACTATTTTACATCTGTAGTCCCCGTCAGGTCATCACACTAGGGTACAAGGTAACACAGCTAAACATTGAAATTCGCAATGCAGCTCTACTAGTTAGATTACTTACCAGGACAGGTGTTGAGAGCCAGGTAGGGAATCTCCGTGTTGGCCCACTGCAGTTCAGCCAGAACCACAGCACACACTGACTTGCTCTTCTTGTCAGGCCGCTGAGCCTTGGTCCTGCTCCAACTCCACAAGTAAATGGAACCATGCATGTAGTTTTTGGAGGCTAGAGAACCACAATAAGTGCAAAATAGGAGAATATTGAAGCAAAATTAGGGACATGATCAGAAAGAAGGAAAAGCTTGTTTCATGTAAATTTGACTGAAATGAAGAAAACACAGTTCTAATTCTGACTGATCAGAACTAAAGCAAACATATCACCACAAGCAACAACATGGAAATTTAGCTCTTACAGGGCCTGAAGTTAGCAGGCGGTTTACAGTTATCGCATGCAAGGTTAGATACACTAATGAACGGATAGACATAAGCCGCGTTTCCACCAAACGAACTATACCCCGGGAACTAGGAGCCTTTGGAGGAACTCACTGCATTTTCACCGAAGGGACCAGGGTCTAAATTTAGTTCTACAGTCTTTATTTTACCCCCCAAAAAGTCCCTGCTCGGGGGCAGTACTTTCCCAAAGTACTGGTACTTTGGGGGAGGGTGGGGCTTGCCTTGCAGTGAAATTCTGAATGGGCGAGTAGAGGCTACTGGCTTTAAACAGAGCATGTCAGGTGTTTTTCTACAACTGCCCTCTCTTTTCACTTTGTTTGCATACCACTATGCAAGCACAGTCAGTCAGATAGCACACCCAAGTCTCTCCAATGTCCGCCTGAGATCGTATAGCTCAGAAAAAGCAGCATCCAGCAGTGTGTCTACAGCGAATAGCTGATGGAGTTATGCTAAATACTGGGTCCGAAGTTGTTTTAAGAACTTGATGGGTTTATCCAGTTTGTTATTAAATTGGTAACAAACTTTATCATACCTATAGTTTTTTTATTATATTCCAATCAAATCTGATATTCATTTATACATTTTTGCTCATGGATAGTGGTTACAAAATAATGATGCCTGTGCATCGCTTTGTACGGCAGCTGGTTAATTTGCCTAATGTTCGTGTGTCTTTAGACAATGGAGGAAACACACACAACAATGGGCTGAAGGAACCTTTTACTTCCTTGAAAAGAGATTTGGGGACGCGGCTATAGAGAGAGTCATGGCATTACTAGACAGGGACTAACACGAAATGTAATTATAGCGCCATCAAGTGGCCTACGAAAGTAATAATTAGTGAGGACATTTGTTTACTGAGGATATTAACATAAATCAACCAATTTCCACTTTTAGTATAAGACATTAAAAAAAAACCACAATATAAATGGATATTACTAACTGAGGGTGCATACTTTCTTAGCTATTGTTAACCAAGTCTACAGTGGTATTGGTGGTGCTGTAGACTCTGGTATACTGTAAGAGCCTCACTTACCCACTATGTCATCTGTAAGAAAACTCAGGCCATCAATGGTGTGGTAGTCATGGTCTTTGTCTTCCTTCTTATATATGGGGAAAGTTATCTCCATCTCTTTAGACCTAATGAGGGGGAAAAAAGAAAAAAAACTCACTTTATGGTACTGTCCGATCCACATGTATGACTTTATACCTTTGATACAAGAACACGAAGATATGCACACACACTGTGCATAAACATAAACGTACCTCTTTGTAGTGTTGTTGGTGCCGAGTTGTGTGTTGTAGCAGTGCAGGCCGTCCTCACAGGCAGTCAGGAGGTGCGAGCTGGGGGAAGTGGGGGGGAGGCAGATGTGCAGAGGCGTGGCGCTGATCTCCAACACCAGCAGCTGACTGGGGGGACAGACAGGGAAGAAATATTCTCAATATCACAGACTGAACCTCTGCTCCACCCAGCTGGACCGATTACATCACATGCAAATGTACAGCTGAGATTTGTTCAGACTCCAAGAATTTTTATTCTAGCAGAAGACTAAAAGTTTGCTAATACAATGAATATCAATTACCAGTTACTGTCACAAGATGTGTAGATATTTTCCAGGCAAAAGTGTGACAGTGTAGCTCAAAAGAGGCATTTCCACAAGACATGTCATGTACTTCATTTGGGAAATGTCATGTATTACGCTTAAGTTAAAAGGGCAATTCACTTAAAAGAGACTTGACCTGACCTAGCAAAAATACTCACACAACTTTGTAGTTGTACTGGCTGTCAACTCCACCAATATCCCACATCATTATCTTGTTATCGTATGATCCCGCTGAAAGACAAAAGGTGAACTGGTGAGACCACACACACAGTGAGGTGAATCATAAAAAAAAAATTTTAATCAGAGTGTTGATTTTAGTAGGATCAAATTAAGCACAGTGAAGATCCATTCAAAAACAACACTCAAGAGATTAGTCTATAATCCTCAACAAGTGAGGACATGGGTATCATACAGCAGTGGCTGAACTGGTACAAATAGAAAGCCAAAAAAAATATGATACGCCTCAACGCAGACTCTGATGGGTGTAGTATGTCCAGTTGTGGTACATACAATGGAATTATTATTATTATTCCACTAATAACTGAGCACAATTATTCTTAAATCTGTTGGACCTCTGAAATGGGAGGCCGTCAAACAAGCAGAACTCATAATGTTGGTTGTTTATCTTTAAGTAGTGACCATGACTCACTGAAGAGGAAGTTTCCCTGGTTGTGGTTGAAGCGGAGGACAGACAGCGACTTGCGGCTGGCTCGGAACTCCCCGTAGGCCACGTTGTTTCTGGGGTGGATCAATTTGACCAATCCTCTCTTCCCACCAGCTGCTAGAATGGTGCAGTGTTGAGCCGGGGCCCCGCCTCCCCTGGACATCAACACTGTGGACCAGGCCAGGGAGAAGAACTCCTGTTGTGAGGAGCACATACAAACATCAGACAAGCAACTCAAGCTTACATTAAGATATGAATACTCAGGTTTATCCACACATAACCAGCTACAATCAATGAACTACAACTACAATCACTACTGACAACTGCAATATGAAATCTTGAATTAAAGTGTGCCTTGTCTGCAAAATTCCCGCTAGCGGCTAGACGTTTCCTTGTAATTATGAGTTTTTGTAAAGTTGAGATTTTGTATTTTTTTGTCCTTCCTTCCTCAGATAAATATAAGGTGTTTCCGTAGTGACAGTGTTCGGCCTCAGACAGATTTGAAAAGGATGTAAAAAAAAAATTTTTTTTAAACGTCTCTTTCTCTGTGCATGTAAATCAAACAGTCTGCCCTTTACAGCAATATTATTGTTGACTTCGAGAATAGATGGAGCAAACCTCGCCAGGAACTTTGTACTTCTTCATCACCATCCCCGTTTCACAGTCGATCACACAGACAGAGTCTCCACCACACGTAGCAACCAAACGACATCCTCCACCAGCTCCTTTTTAAAAGAAAAGAGACATGGTTATAGGGAAACTTTAAAAAAAAAAAAATCTATTTACAAATGTAAAGCCTTTCATTTAGGCCTTGTTTCACAGGCCTTGTGGATGCCCTGATAAATTTGAGCAACATGTTTTTCTAAATGTCTTACCAGTGGAATCTGGCAGCGAAGGGAAAGCACAGGCCCACAGCTGGGTAGAGAAGTCCTCTGAGCTGTCCCGTTTACTGTGGCACTGGAGGACGTGGAGAGGCTTCAGATGCACCGGCTGCTGGAGGAAGGAAACATGGACAAAGAAGAAGATGGACATGGGGAGATAGAAAGGTAAGGGGAAAAAAAGAGGATTTGACAATGACAATGTTAACATGCTGATCATTAGCAGGTTTTATGTTTCCATGTTCAATTCATTAGATTTGGAAACATTTGCTACAATTTGCAAACAAAGGCTGGTGTGAATTTTAGTTTAGTTTTGTAGGCATGAGGTTGAACAAAAGTATTGAACAAATGGAAATTTTGACCTGATGATGGCGCTAGATGAACCCACCATTTTTAATGCTGTCAGGAATAACACAACATTGAGTATTTTACATGTCATTACACCTGCTCAGTGACTGCAGTCGAATATTAAATTAATGTGCACTGTCCCTGTAACTGTATAAATACAATTAAAATAAATAAATAGTAGTATTAGATTACCTGCGTCTTGCTGCAGCTCTTTATTTTGGGCAGCATATCCGCATCTCTCTGCAGATCTGTGGCTTTAGAATTTTTTTCCTGTTTCATTTGAGCTTCATCATCTTTGGTTTGTCGCACTTTAGATGCTCTCCTTGGTGTCTCTGCCCTCACCGGTCCTCTGGTGGGGGTAGAAGGAGGCTGACCCGTCTTGCGGGGGCTCATCCTGTTGGTGTTGGTCTGGATTAGTGTCTGAGGTTTGAGGCGGAGACTGGACTTGCGGGGGCTGTCTTCAACTGAGGAGGCTGGGAGATCTGTGCGCAACTTTTTGCAAGGTGTCAGCCTTGTGTTAGTGTCCATTACTGAAGCAGTTTCTTTCCTCTTGGTAGTTGGTGAGACATCCTGAAAAAAGCAAATATACGATATGAGCTCTTTGTCCCGGTTACAGGTCGTTACGTTCCTGTAGTGGAAGAGACCTATCAGTGACCAAACCGTGTGAAGGACTGATGTCCATTACTTTCTAAAGTCTATGTACTGCTTAATTACAATGACCACTCAGCCAGATCTGGTATAGACAGCATGTTAAAACAGGTCATCTTACACAGTTCTCTGTAGTATCAGTAGACTCCCTGCTCTCTGGTTCTGTCAGAGAGAACAAGTACTCCTTAGCCATTATCTCCACCTGAGAAACAAAGGAGACAAAGAGACAGTTACTAAAAATTAGAGGAGGCAACACAAAAAAAAGGGACCCAGAATTTCTCTAAAGACTGAACTTACTCTCCATTTGGTGAAGTCACTGACTGAACTAGGTCCAAATTTAACCTGTTGACGGGCAGTTTGGACAAACTTTGTCTCCAAGGTGGACATTTTCTCTGCTGTGATGGGATCTGGGAGCTGGAAGCTCTTCTCCCAAAGTGCAGTGATCTAAAATAACAAAAGACAGTTTGTACAAGTACAAGTTTGTACAGTTTGCATGGTCCTTTAAGTGTGAAACAGCTTAAAAGAAAATTGTTCTGTTCTGCCACATCTTCAGCAGAAATATTTCACAGACAAACTATTATGACACACATAACTTAGTGTAGAGTATAATACTGGATCACTGACACAACTGTCTTAATATCATAAAATAAAGCAAAATGTGTTTCATACCCTGGTCCTCAAGTTTTCACTGTAGACAAAGCGCAAGTGGTTGGCAGTAGTACTGACATCTTTACCATTGTAAATCCTCAGGTTGGGCAACAACACCATCAGCTTGTAATTATCACTCACCTGAGGAGGAAAAGCAACATTAACAAAGATAGCTTTACATGGCTTTGTCCAGTTGTTACAAATGATTTATTCTTTCTATTACCGTTTCCAAAGCAAAGTAGGATATAGCAGTAAATGGTCTGGTCTGCATTTGTGTAGCGCCTCCCTAGTCTTTCCTACCACTCAAAGAGCTTTACACTACATCACATTCAACTCATTCACACACATTCGTACATTAATGAGCGGAGGCTAAGGTGCCAACTGCCCACCAGAAACTCATTCATACATACGCCACCACTTATCCCCCACTTAAAATGCTGTCCTTTCATCACTTCCCAGGAAACTCAACAAACGTAACCTATTGGCCTCAGGTGAAGATACCAACGATGGTCGTTCAGTCTTGGCCTCAGGTGAAGATACCAACGATGGTCGTTCAGTCTTGGCCACAGGTAGTCTCAACGACTGTAACGACTGTCGTCACAGCAACAAGGAACACTAACGAACCAGCGGTATCGATGACCCGAGATAACGACCCCACTGAGGTTAATAGCTGAGTTTCCCTGCCAGTCAGTCAGAACTGAAGAAGTCCTTTGGATAAGGGACGAAACGTCTTCCAGTAGCTTCAACCAAGTCCAGTTGCCCTTCATTTTAACCTTCGTTGGATCATTCATACACATTCACACACACCGATGGAACAGCACTCATTCACACCAGCAGACAGTTTTGAGTACCCACTTCACATAATCTGCATGTCTGTGAACTGTTGGATGAAACCTACACAGACAGGGCAAGAAAATGCAAACTCCACACAAAGGCCCGGGATGTGCTGGTGGGATCAAAAACAGGAACTACTTGCTGTGAGGTGACATTGTTCACCACTGACCCCTGTGTCAAATGATTTCTAGCGAAGGAGCTAGCACAATGGTTTAATGCTAAGTGTGAACATGAATGCCAATGCCATGCCATATAATTTGATTTTTACATTTCTGCTCCAGAATTACTCTACCGAGACCCTAAAACTGATTGTACGCAAATACATTAACCATGTCCTCACAGTGATATAAAGATTGTCCTCCATCTTGAGCTCTTCCAAACCGCTCAAGGACTCCAGAGTGGTAACATCTTCCATCTGGTTGTCGCTTAGGTCCAGGTAGCGAAGCGCAGGCAGTTCCAGGTTCTTGGGTAACTCCTGCAGTCTGTTCCCAGACAGATCCCATCGCTCCAGGGACTGGAGGCGGGACAGCAGCCTGACTGGCAAGTCCTGATGCTTCAGCGCCAGTCTAGATAAACTGAAAAACAGAAAGTTTCAAGTCAGTATTTTTACAAGATAAGATGGAACTTATCACAAGGGACATTGTTGTGTGGCATTTGCAGTAGACAGTAAGTAGGAAAGAGTGCAAATATAAAATATCAATAAACAGAAAATCAATATAAACACGGTAAATGGAAACAGTGAGGTCGAAGGGCCAATGAAATTAGCTTGTGGATAAATCTAGCTATCTGAACCAATTCACTTTAGAATTTTGATTCAAAGCAACAACAACAGTTGTTATAATACTTCAAATATAAATTGTTTATTTTAAGATTAAACTGTATTTAATGGGTGTCATGTCCGGCCCATTTTTGATCTATTTGCTATCTTTAACTACAACGTGTCTGAGCTGTCAAATACAAAACCAACACAATCGTAAGGAGAATAAAACCATACTTACTTCAGTGTCTTGATTTGCTCCAGTTTGTTGGTTTTTGGAGAGCCTTTCTCCAGCAAAACTTTCTCATTTATTTTTTCCATTGATTATCTGTAGAAAGAACCACAATTCAAAAATGACGATACTAGAAAATCAATTGCAGTGCAATGGTGGAGTTTTAAAGAGGTAATCGCTTAAGTGCCCTCTTCTGTTGAAACTCTGTCGTACCCCTAATCACACAAAGTGTGCTCTGCAAGGTGAGTTTCATTTACATTTATTCATTTAGCTGACACTTTTATCCATAGCGACTTACAATTGCTAGGGGGTTAAGTGTCTTGCTCAGGGACACAATGGTGGATATCTCACAGTGGGAACTGAACCCAGGTCTCCCACACCAAAGGCAAGCATCTTATCTATGCGCCATCACCACCCCACAGTTTCAAACACTGGGAGTCAGCAGAAATGTAATTCTTCTATGTTACTCTTTAATTGCAGCAGTACTAAAAGATACACCACGAAGTTAGGTAAGCTCCACGGGGTACTGACCCATGGTAGTGGTTTTCAACCTTTCAGATGAGTTCAAGAGCCCCTTCATCTACTCCAACTCTATGTTTCAAACAAGAGGTTATTTAACACTATTACTATACATTGTCGCATGCGTAAAACTACCACATAGAGAGGCCTTTGACTTCTCCGCTCATTTGCTTGCTTGTTTTCACATACTCACTCACAATACGTGGTGTCAAGGTGGAACCTGCTTATTGTTGGTGGTAGTTTGTAACGTTAGGTTACTGTGGCTATAAATATACTTGAGATTGACCACACATCACTTTGTAGTCCTATTCAGCTACTCCACTACTTTTCCACACCTCCTGGGGTAAAAGTATCCCGGGCTGATAACTGAAAAGACTGAGTTTTTAAAAAAAATCCACAAAAAAAGACACGTTCACGCTGAATGCATATTAGAGTGTAACGTTATACCACAGAGAGCAGATCATTTACCTGAATATGGTCAGAGACGATAACAAAACAACACTCACTCACTCACACAATTAACGCAGATTTTGTACCTCGAACAACCCTAACTTGCAGGTAAGTTGTCTTACATTTAATATATCTGTATCTATGTATGTATCAACAAGCTGGAGAGATGTTTTTCTTGGAAACAACAGAGGTTAACGTAACGTTAGCTAACGTTTGCCACGCTGGAAGCACCGAGGACATATATTTGTATGTCTAGGCTACTAATTTAATATTATAAACAATAAATACATTTTATTTTACTGGACATCCAAGTCGTTTAACTTCCATAAGAAAGCATTAGGGTTTGTGAATGAGATAATATTCGTTGAAAAAGGTTACTTACCCGACACTTGAGCAACTTCAGTGAACTCACTACTACAGAAACTGAGCTTTCCCGGGGAAAGTCTACGTATATCCGGTGGGCGTGGTTTAAACAGACCTGATTGAAGGGTATTTTTAACCCTGAGCTGTGCCTGTCGGGTAAAATGTATACTAATGCCCCAAGCACATCTCCAGTGGGCAGAATATCTTTCTAACTTCTGTTATACAGTCTGCCTATGGTTGGCCATGTGTAAAAATGTTTTTTTTTTTAAATACATCCCTATACTGTATTATTTTGCCATTTTTTGTTCATTTTTATCTCATTTTCTTGTATTTAATGTTTTATAGGTTGATGCTGTTTTGATACATTTCTACATACCATTGGTGGAAGAAGTATTCATATCTTTTACTTATGTAAAACAGTAATTTAGCGGAAAAAAGTTAGCTGTTGCAATTAAAAATCTGCACATAAATATTAGTATCAAAATAAACTTAATGTACCAAAAGTAAAAGTAATCATAATGCCAATTATATATATTATATTTATGTGAACCAATATTATATAACTTACTTTAATGTTGCAGCTGGCAATAATAATAATGATAAAAAAATTTTATTTGTATTGCATTTTATATTTAAGCAAATCCCAAAGTGCTACAATATAAAAACGCATAGAGAGCATGAAAATAAAACAAAAGCAAGAAGGCAAAGGAAAGGGGCAACAGTTCAATCAAAAGCTCTCCTAAAAAGGTGGATTTTAAGGCCTTTAAAAGCATCATGGATGCACTGGTGGGAAGGAGGGAGACCTTGTACACAATCCTGAGTGAGACAGGAAGCCAGTGGAGTGATTTGAGGATTGGGTGATGTGGTCGTGTTTGCGCACCTTAAACAGGATCCTAGCAGCGCTGTTCTGGATGCATTGCAGCTTCTGAATGCTTTTCTGAGGAATTCCGGTGAGGAGCACATTGCAGTAGTCCAGCCTTGAGGAGACAAAAGCGTGGACAAGCTTTTTGGCATCTGTAAGAGTGAGTGTGGGACGGAGTTTGGCAATGTTCCTGAGGTGGAAGGTCTTGCAGAAATGTTTGATCTGAGCCTCTAAGGTCAGATGAGAGTTCATTTTAACACCCAGGTTGGTGGCTGATGTTCAAAGTGGAATATCTTGGCCAGAGAAGGTGATGCTGGTAACGTCAGATGACCGAACCTGGTGTGGAGTGCCGACTAAGAAGGCTTCAGTCTTTGAGCTGTTTAGCTGCAGAAGGTTTTGCTTCATCCACGCCTTTACCTCCTCCAGGCATTTGGTCGGAGTGGATGATGGCAGGCAGCAGAGGGGGTTGGGTTTGTCCTGAGGTAGAGCTGAGTGTCATCTGCATAGCAGTGGAATGAAATTCCATGCCGGCTGATGACATGGCCAAGGGGGAGCATGTATAGAATAAACAGGGTGGGGCCGAACACTGAGCCTTGAGCGACACCACATTATGTGTCAGAGATTTAGCCTCTCCCAAGGCAACATGCTCAGTTCTCTCAGTGAGGTAGGATAAGAACGACTCATGGACAGAATCAGAAAGACCAATAGTGCAATGTAGATGTTGTGGTCCACAGTGTGAAAAGCTGCAGTCAAGTCCAGGATGATGAGAAGAGATGGGGAGCCAGCGTCTGAAGTCATCAGCAGGTCAGGTAAAGACGGAACTGCTGGGTAGCTCAACTTATAATAATAGATCACACAATTAGTTGATTTATATTTTGTATTAATAATCTAGATCTGCAAAATAACTAGCAACTAATGTTGGCAAATTAATGTAGTGAAGTAAAAAGTACAATATTTGCTTCCAAAATGTAGTGGAGTAGGCTAGAAGTAGCCTATATAGTAGCGTAAAATGGAATTACTCATACTCAAGTAAAGTACAAGTAGCCTACCTCAAAATTGTAGCTTAATGAAGTAATTTCAGTAGGCATATTTGAGTAAGTGTGCTTAGTTACATTCCCCCACTGGTTTGCAGATGAAATGCTTGTGTGCAGGTGTTGAAATGTTTGTTAGTGAAGAAAATATTAACTTATGTATCAAAAAGTCTGAATTCATGCTTCATGCTGCAACTTTTAAAATGCTTGTTTTCTGAATGGTGTTCAGTTCGATTAGGACTGGGCTATGCTAATTGTAATTGCTCCATCAGTATAGTCTAAATGAACATCTAAATTACACATAGATATCTAACTCAACAATTATTTAACTTACAGGCATTTGAAATCTATGACATCAGCTGTGCAGCCATATCAATAAAAGCCTACTACTAAAAGTGCAGACTTTGACTTTGTCATACTATTGATTTCAATATACTGCTGTTTGTTCATAAAGCAATGAATGGTTTAGGGCCGAAGTACATTTCTGATCTTCTGCTACGTTATGAACCATCCAGACCTGTCCCCAGACTCATAACTAATCATGGAGAAGGAGCGATTAGTGTTTATACACCATATATATATATACATATAACTCTTGGAAAACTGCAGGTCTGCTGAAACTCAGTTCTTTCAAATGAAGACTGAAGGCTCTTCTTTTTACTTCTGCCTTTTATTGAATCAAATTACACTTCTGATTAATACCTTACACGTACTATAACTTTTATTGTCCTTAAAAATGTATTTGAATGTCTTTCCTATATTTCCCAATGTCGCTTTTATGTTTTATATAAAGCATTTGAATTGACTTGTTGAGTGGAGCTACCGCCAGCGTTTCAGGATCAGGACCACACATCAATCAAACCACTCTCTCACTTCTATAAATACCCAGCTAACCCATCTCCTCTTCTTCGCTCTAGTACTCTGCACACCCCCCTTCTCTACCTTGTTCCGCATCTAACCCCTCTTCTCCATAGGATCATGAGGGGGTCTGTCGTGCCCGGGAGCTACAGCAGATCCTCCCTACGGCAGCTTCCCCACAACACCTTGAACACAGTGACCAGCATTGCATGCTTGATTGTTATTCATCAATAGTGTATAAACGTATTCATTGGTGCTGTGGTCCTTGCTAGTGAAATGTGCTATAAAAATAAACTTGTCTTGTCTTACCACCTACTGAATGTTCACTACAACTCAGTTAAATTAAATGTTTTCTATGCTGCAGATACTGGTGACTCATTCAGGACCATCACTAACAGCTTCTGTGTTGGGGTCTCCACCGTCTCCAATATTCCAATAGTCCCTGATGTCCTGACTGCTATTTGGGACTGCCTTGTAGAGGAGATCATGGCTGTGCCCACTGTGCAGTAAATTGTTTTATTCTTTACTTATAATCCTTTATGCAAGTACCTACAAGAGTGCTATTTTTCTCCTTTTATTATGTCTTACATATTGTTTTAAATCTTTAAACTGTTCCCTTTTTATTATTGTTTTTGTTATTCCAGTCTGTCCACATGTGTGGGGTTTAGGTCAGGGATGTGGGGTTGTTGATTGTTTTCCACACTAGCTGTTCTTCTCCTTCCTTGACTGGGACCAGTCAAGGATCTTTTGTTCCCCAAAACATAGATACTCAGCCCTTTGCTCTGGGCCAGACGTTAGTGACTTAGGAGACAGAACCTCTGGTCCAGCTGATTTTATTGTAGTACTTCTCTGTTTATTCTCTTTTGTTAAATAAATTCTTCAAAGACAACAGTTCGATGTAACTCAATTATTTGCTCAACTTCTCACCAGGAATATAATTTCCACGACACCCACCATAGAGGAGTGGAGGTCAATAGACATAAAGAGCTGTTGAAATTTCCTCTCTGCTGTGGTGCACAGTAGAAAGCATGTTATGTTCAAAGCCCCTGCTAACTCCGGATACCAGTTCTTCAACTACAAGGGAACATTCTCTTTAGTTCTCTTGGCAGTTGTTGATGTCCAATATTGTTGACCAACTCAGCGTGTGCTATATTCACTGCAGATGTTGTGACTGGAGGTATGACCACAATTAGGAGCCATTTGTACACCGGAGACAAAATCATATCATATAAACAGTACCTGAACTTTTAATATCAACAAAATATCAATCTCATGACATAAAGAAAGGCACATCAGGTTGTTTCCTTTATGTATGTATGAATAAAAAAAAAAAAAAAGAATATAAAGAATTTACAAACATTTGGAAACATTTTAACATCAAACAACATGCTCATACTTTAAAAAAAAAAACTTGTTTATAATGAATTTGTAAAATAAATAAGGAACAAAATAAATTTAGAAAAAACAAAGCAAGGTTCATTCCCTGCAAAGACTACTGCCCTGACAACCTTATTCATGGGTTCCACATTGAGCACCAGAGTGCTGGCTTCATGAATAAGCTTGTGAATTTGACATATTCCTTCTGCTTGAGTGGCAATCTCTTCAGGGAAGGAACCAGGCTTTGAAGGAAAAGCGCATCTCTGAGAAAGGAGGTTGGACAGGTGCAGCAGGCCTCCTCAGGACTTTGAGAAAAAGCCTCTCGATCTCCATCTCATTCCTCCTAGATCTCTTTTGGTACGTCCTCCTCACTGTGTGAAAAGAGAACACCATATTTTGTGAAACGACAGCATTCCCTCAAGGTATCAGTTGAAATGATACAGACAAAAAAAACATGACTCAAACATGAAATAGTAAGGAACACAGTACTTGTCACATTGAAAAACATAATATCATGCATGATATGGTTCTCAGGTGTTGCAGAGGCAGCAACACCACTTTGAGTCTCACTGCCTTCCAGTGATTGATCTGAGTGACAAAAATGCCTAGGTTGTTTGTTTGCTATATGTATGATTTGTCTAATAGAAACAGTCATTCTAGACTTCAGAGTCTATTAGAGCAAATCAAGTATTAGTATGCTTGGAGTAGTAAGTATTTCCATTTTTTTTCTGATGAACACAGCTATAGGAAAGCTTTTAAAATCAATTTAAACATTTAAAGCCTTTCCTTTTGATAATCTAAGCCTCGTTTCACAGGCCTTGTGGATGCCCTGATAAATCTGAGCGACATGTTTTTCTAAATGTTTTGAACAGTATCAGTGGAATCTGGCAGCGATGGGAAAGCACAGGCCCACAGCTGGGTAGAGAAGTCCTCTGAGCTGTCCTGTTTACTGTGGCACTGGAGGACGTGGAGAGGCTTCAGATGCACCGGCTGCTGGAGGAAGGAAACATGGACAAAGAGGAAGATGGACATGGGGAGATGAGAGGTGAGAAAGAAGAGACTTTAATGCCATTCTGATAATACCGATATGTGGTCATTCAACATTACTGTGTAGAAATAAAGCTGACTTGCATCCAATTTCACTGTTCTGACAGGTTACAGTTACATTAGCAGCCCTGTGAGGCTGTATTCTTACATCAGCACACAAACATACTGATCATTAGCAGGTTTAATATTTCCTCGTTCAAGTTAGTGAACATGGACCATTAACACAACGTTGTGTATTTAATAGCAGTATTTAGATTACGTGTGTCTTGCTGCAGCTCTTTATTGTGGCCAGAGTCTCAGCATCTCTCTGCAGCTCTGTGGCTTTGGAATCTTCCTTCAGTTTAATCTGAGCTTCATCTTTGGTTTGCTGCATTTTAGAACCTCTCCTGGTTGTCTCTCCCATCACCTGTCCTCTGGTGGGGGAAGAGGGAGGCTGACCCGTCATCCTGTTGGTTTGGGTTGTTCTGGAGACATCCTGAAAAAAAAGGAAAAACACAATATGAATTTTAAACCAAATCCAGGTCTAATCATTTGTCAATGTGCTTAATTGTCTTTACAGTGCCTAGATTATATAACTCACCACTAAGGTACTTTTAAATACGTTTCATTCTTAAATCCCTGTATGAATTAAGAATCACAATGACTTGTGCATGTTAAAGAAGGCCATCCATCAAAATCTTACACAGTTCTCTGTAGTGTTAGTAAATTCCTTGCTCTCTGGTTCTTGCTTTGGTTCTGTCAACGAGAACAAGTACTCCTTAGCCATGATCTCCACCTATGAACCAAAGGAGACAAAGAGACGGTTACTTAAAATTGCAAAAGGCAACACAGAAAGGGGGCCAGAATTTCTCATAACATACGGAACTTGCTCTCGATTTGGTGAAGTCACTATCTGAACTGACTGATATTTTTCCCCATACAGACAGTGATCCTGGAGTTTTACTGGATATGCAAATCGTTTATCTTCCATAAGAAAGCATTAAGGTTTGTGAATGAGTTAATTTTCGTTTAAAAGATTACTTACCCAACACTAGACTTCAGTTAACTCACTACTGCAGAAACTGCTATATAAATAGCTAACTTATATATACCAGAATGTAGATATTCAAAGGTTACTGTAATGTTTTGAGCTTTTAAAAATCAAGATCTTTACGATGATCTTTAATCAATGTGTGTTAATTTTATCATTTTTCTTGTATTTATTTATTTATTTTACAGAGCATTCCTAGGATGCAGGCATAGACAGGGAGGTGGGGTGGGATGCCTCTGAAGCCTCTATGTGAAGCATTAACATGTAACTTTAATGTTGCAGCTAGTAAAGATGGGGCTAATTGTATTACTTCACATAGACAACTGCTGGGCAGCTCAACCTATAGTAATAAAGTAGTTAATAATAATAATTCAGCAAAGTAACTAGTAGCTATAATATTGGCAAACAAATGTAGTGGAGTAAAAGTATAATATATGGTTCCAAAATGTAGTGGAGTAAAAGTGTAAAGCAGCATAAAATTGAAACACTCTAATAAAGTAGTAGGTCTACCTCAAAATTGTAGCTTATTTAAGTACAGTATTTGAGTAAATGTACTTAGTTACATCCCCCCACTGGTTTATACAGATGAAATGCTTGCATGCTGGTGTTAATGTTAATAAAAATAAAAATGAGTTATCGTCACCTTTTAGTTTCCAGTAGAAAATGGTCAAATAATCCTTTACAGCGCGTGTCGTTAGGTGTCGCTATTTATCTTTTTTAACAGGTTCGCCACTTACCTACCAACACACGAAGAAGCTGCAGGATGATGGCTCCTGACAGTGGTGACGGTGTTACCTCATGTGCTTGTAAAGGCATTCGCCGGTGTCTCATATGTGAAAAGTTAAAGGGAAAAGGACGATTGCAGGCGAATGGCGCAGAGGTAAACATATCTGACTGGAAACTGTATTTTACATTTTATCAGCAGCAGGAAACGGACGCTTTTTGCTGATAGCGCCGCTCACATAAAATAGCAACGGATGTCCTCGCATGACATCCCATTATCTCTCCAAAAGTTAATTACTGAACAAACGTGTACGGTCTCAGTTCTCGTTATAACACGATGCTGTGCTACAGTATTATTTTGTTAGTACGACTATCTTATCTCAATAACTAACTTTTTGTCGTTAACACAAGATACATTTTTATGTCGTACCCAGAGGAAGACATTGCAGCTTCTAGTACATATTGGGCCCAAGTTACTTCTACTGCTACTGTAACTTTAGTAGTGTAGTCGTAGTACTCGGGTGTGCAGGAGTGGCACATACATGCTTACAGCTGAATCAACTCACACATGAGGAGGATGCATTTTAGTATATGTCCAGCATGTCCCCTAGAAAGTATCTTGGTTTGTCTTTCTGGACTGCAAGTGACTAATGTTAGGCACCTCTCAGGTTTGTGAGACAGACATTCATTCATTTATTATTTAATACTGTCAAATTGTGGTTCATCATCAGAAAGGACAGGAATGCCATGTAGTCCCAACGCTACTGTTTTGTTTATGTCTATGAAGATTGTGCATCATTTCCTATACGATCCTGAGACGAGGCTTGCCATTCGCAAAGATGACAAGGCTGTGTCCTTCCCTTTTCCTGGTGTCTTCCTGTGGGAGGACTTCATATCAGAAGAGGAGGAGAAAAAGCTGACATCCACAATGGACCAGGATGTGTGGAATGAGTCCCAGTCTGGTCGAAGGAAACAGGTTAGGTGGAACACATGCAATTCTCTGAATGTCATCAGCATGCACACACAAAATGACTGAGGCCAAACTATATCTATTGGGCTCACTTTACTTTGTATTTGGTTTTCCGGGGTGATGCTACCCAGTAACAAGATAACAAAGACTTGAGGACAAAAGTCACATACTGTTGTTTCACAAGTAGTTTGGATACTTTGTTACAAACCTGCTGTACTGGCTTTGGCTAGTCATACCTGTAATATCTGTAAATTTGTTTTGCACCCAACGTCATTTTGTTAAACTGCGCTTGCCAATGTCACCATTTTTGTAAAACACAGCTTCTGTGATATCACTCACAGTGCTCTGAAAGGGCTTTGGCTAAATCTAAATGTCCACATTTGGACTTGCAAAGTTCTTTGGTGGATTGTATTGTACTGAGACTTGTCTACTCGTGGATGTGGATATGTCCAATGCCAATATCTTGAGCCTGTAATCCATCTCTTGAGTATTTTTCTGAATGGTTAGTAATGGTTTTCACATTGGCAGTGTATGAATGAGTTCTGAAGGGTCTTCTGCTTAATAGTACAAAAGAGATGGGCTAGATAATTGTTGATTGGCAGTAACACTTTGTCTTACTAACTATGCAGATTGTAACATATAAAACCAAATTATTTGTGCACATTCTATAGGTAATAACCATCAATCAATTACAACCAACTTATTGGTAGTTTGACGCAATTTATATCCTTATAATTTATGGACATTATAATTTAGGGTTGTTTGATTCAGTCAGCGACACTCCCTGTACACCCACACGTATTTTTGTATATTATGGTTGATTAGTCAAGTAGTAGAAGAATCATAAATATAAACTACATAAATAAATGTATTCTTTTTTATTATTATTATTATTATTATTATCATATTCTTATGAAATAAACAAAAGGATTTTATTATTGTTGCAGGACTTTGGCCCAAAAGTTAACTTCAAGAAAAGGAAAGTGCGCATAGGTGGCTTCAGTGGACTCCCTGCTTTGAGCCAAAAGCTAGTTCTCCGAATGCAGCAAGAGCCAAGTCTAGCAGGCTTTCAACCAGTGGAGCAGTGCAATCTGGATTACCATCCTGAGCGAGGATCCGCCATCGATCCACACCTAGACGACTCCTGGCTGTGGGGGGAACGCCTGGTCACCATCAACATGTTATCAAACACTACACTCACTTTGTCCCTCGAACAGGGTCTACCGGAGTTGGGACTAGCAGAGGAAGTCCACATAGCTGTGCATCTTCCTCGCAGATCTTTATTGGTGTTATACGGTGAGGCACGGCATAAATGGAAACATGCCATTCATAGGGAGGATGTTCATGAGCGCAGAGTTTGCAGCACCTACAGAGAGCTGTCTGCAGAGTTCCTAACTGGAGGGCAGCAGGCAGAGCTGGGAGCTCAGCTGCTGAACATTGCTTTGAGCTTCCAAGGAACTCCAATATAGGCTTATCTGAAGAGGAAGGCTGTACTACCAGACGTGAGGGTCCAGACTCCTTGAACGTGTTTTAAACTTTGACATTTGGCTAAGAAGAAAAAGGCCACAATTCTTGGCTCCATGTTGGTGTAGCCTTTGAAATGCAACAGCCCTTTTGTATTTTGTTGTTTTGAATTACTAACTCTAAAAGAAGTGGACACTGAAATGGGATACACATTTGGTCCTGTGGCCTAAAGCATTTTAAGGGCTTTGTTACACATGTCAACGGCGGTATGAACAGTTGTTGAATGTTTAAACCGGACTAAGGAGAGCTGTTGTTCTCCAGATTTGGAAAATATTACCATAGTAGGCACAGCTAATCAAGAAACAGACGAGTGACCGATGAAATACAAAAACATGTTTTTTAGTAAGGTGTAATCACGAACAATGATCCTTCAGTTAGATTCTCTAAGTCTTTGGATCTTTATTAGAAAGAAAAGGGTGAACAACATATTTTTAAAATCCCAAGAGATTTTAATGAATTGTTTTCTTTGTGCAAGACTCTCTACATCCTCTATAAGCAGATTAAGTGATGACATCCATCCACCAATGTGTCCCTGAGCAAGACACTTAACCCCTAGTCGCTCCAGAGGTGTGCGACCTCTGACATATATGGCAATTCTAAGTTGCTTTTGATAAAATAATAAGTGTGTAAATGTAAATTATATAAATGTAGTTATTACATGCCAGAGTTTCTGACCCACTGTCCTAAACAAATGCAGTTATCTTTGTTGGTAGCATGAATTTGCACTTGATACCACCAACAAAAGAAATATCAAAAATGTATTATTGATACAATAAAAAATGCTACCAGAATAAACTGGTTACCTTATACTTATAAACACATTTACAGTGTGTGTCAATTTAAACAAAAACTCTCCAAACCACAAAAATGAATAAAAAGATCACCTGAAGTAATCCTGTGTAGCATTTTCCTTGATTGTCCTAACTGCTTTTCTTTCATTTTTAAAGGTTGCTAGCCAGTTCCTCAATTTTTGGATGTATAGGGTGAAAAACATATGCAGGGGGCTTGTAGACTCAGCCCTAGTTTCTGTTCTATGACTTCTAATTAAAAAGAAAAATTTTGCCTGCCATATACACTTTGCCTCGACTTTAATATGTACAATGTGTTTGTTGACAGATGTAAGAGATTTCATCCCAGCGTGGCCAGCTGTAATGTAAAAACATGGCATTAGGAGCACTGATCTGAAGGAGAGCTGTACAGAGAAGCATCATAGTAAAGAAGTATCTGTTGACAGGAAGGTCATCATCCGCCCTGCTGTGTTGCTTCAGCTCATATGTTGTCATACACACCTTTAAAGGACCATACTCTCTCTGAATGTATTTCCCTACCTCCCAGGCTGCCATTGCTTTTTATGCATTTCACTACACCATTAACAGACAATCATATTCACACCTACAGGCGGGTTATGATCGCCAATTTACCACACCTGCAAAAAAAAAGTGCTCAAAGATGAACTAAAATTCTTAAGAATGACTTTCCCATAACTGTATTCCTGGCAGTTTAGACAAAGCTTTGAGGTAGTTTTTTATTTTATATTTGCACTCTTTGTATTTGCCCCTTTTTCTAACTTTGTATTGTAACTGCTGTACAACTATATCCCTCAGTATCAGTAAAGTTCAATAAGATCTTATTTAAACCTACATGTTAGGGAGAAAAGACATAAAGTAAAGACATAAAGTATAATTGAACAGTTCAATGAATAAACAATAATAATAAAATTAATTGGAGACTATTTGTTTTGTGTTTCCAGTTCAGAAGCAGAGTGGGGTTCATTGGGGGGACTTGCAACCTCAGTGTGTTTATTAGTAGTTAGTAGTGCATGAGTATGCTTTAAGACACTATTTTAATAATTTAATATTTTTTCTCTTAATATCTTTATCTTGCATTGAAGTATGCGGTATTGCAACGTATAATTTCGCAGAGGTCTGCACAGACCTATTCATCACCTCTTTTGACGCATGTTCCATCTGCATGTTCATTGACCATACCTTTATTTTGAAGGGTGCAGCCGGACATCCTTGTTTACTCTAGCTGCTGTCTTGTCGTTGGCTGGAGCTGCTGCACAACCTGCTTGTTGATCGCTCCGTGTGGTTTATTAACACCCAGAGTTTATTATAAGCCGGGTTGATTTCTCAGGGGGCTTTAACTTGCCGTCGCCAAGAGGAGATAGCTGTGTGTCAGACAGCAGACACAGCAACACAACGAGTATGTGTTATGGTTGTACTTGGCGACGGAATTAAACAGAGAGGCTTTTCAAATGTAGCTTGTTAGCTAGCTCCGTCGCGTACAGTGTGCACAGCTTTTTTTGTCCTGCTCTTAAACAGCAACTGCATGACAAATTAGTAGAAGTGTTAAGTACAGATAGGGCGAGCAAAACAACGGGTGTTGTGTTGAAAATCGTGTGAAGAATAATCCCTGGTTGTCAACCTCAGCCCCGGGGCTAACCCCCGGTCGCCGACCGAATAAATGGCCGGAAATCCGAGGAGGGGCGCCGGTCTCATCGGCTTGATGAAGGACGCCTTTCAGCCCAGCCAGCAGCCTCCCCAGCCTCACCAACCTGCAGTGGTCGATAAGAAAATGGTGGAAAAATGTTGGAAACTCATGGACAAGGTATTGCCAGTGTTTTTAGGGTCAAAAAATCGTTAACACGGAACTGAAAATTTGTCACTTTAGTTCTGTCAGATATCCGTAGTTTGCATAAAAAATATTTACTGCCACTTCCCTTTTTATTCATTATGACTATGAGCATAACATTGTTTTGTCTTTTTGTATTTTTATATATATATATATATCACACATTTGCCATAGTCTATTGTGAAACTACCTTTCTTATAATGAACAAATGTAAGGCCCACTAAACCCCATAGCATTAGATCACAGAGATCTATATAGAAAGGTATTTTTCATTGAGTTAAAGCGCTCTTTAGGCTGTCTCTATGAGGAAACTGTAAGAATGTAAGCCGTGAAATTGGAGTACAATAGTGTCTTTGATGCATTATCTAATTGGGATCATTTATAGAGAATTAGGTCACAGTGATTGTAATCTGGTGATGATTTTGCAATGGACTTTTAGGAAACAACTCATGAATGTCACTGGGAGGTCACCTTCTATTTGGTATTTAGATTTGGTGTAAGAAAATATACTCTTTGTGTGCCTTCTATATGCGTTGCTTACTGTCCCTGTAGTTCTTAACTGAGCTAGGTGAGGAGACAAGAGTTTATATGAGATTAATTCACATAGGCTGGGGTTAAGAAGAGAGTACAATATACCATTACATTCCTGTGCCTTGTACTGTGCAGTGTACTGTGCATAGAGGCAGCTGTGCTGCCTCATTTGCACCTACAGTATGATGTGTCGGCATGTCACATGGTACAGACTGATCCGTTTTACTGTTGGAGGTTTTAAAACTTTTTGTAAGTGGTTCACATGCTTCCTCTTAGGACTGGATGATAATACAGTATTAGTGATTATTGCCTTGCAGTGGAATTGCATCGTGATAATATATTGTAATAAGAACGGAAAATTAGTCCTTATGAGGAGTTTTGTCTGATGTAACGTGTACAAGTGCAACAGTTTGTTGTTTTGTACATCAGTTTATGTGACTTTTCCAAACTTTAGCATATGGCAGTCAGAAATATTCTTATCATCGTTTTGCTATTTCAACCAAATCTCCCAATGCTGTTCCCTCAGTCCCTGAAGTATACACTACATTTGTTATACAGTTTCAAAGAAAAGCAAACATTAACGCACACAGTTGCTTTCACAGTTTATTAATTAACACCTACTGTAAAAATACCCACTCACCCTCATCCTTCCTGTTTTTACTGCAAAAGCAAAAAGTAAAATGCACCTAACAATGTTTTTTAAAGAAACCGCCAAAGTGAGCGTCAAGTCAGTATTTATACTCTAAATTCAACTGAAGTAAAAATGTTAAGTTTGAAACCTCCTTAACCTCCTGATGTGTGTTTGCAGAATGGGACTTATCAAACTCAGGCTGCTAAAGCCTCATTAACTTAAGATAAACGTTGGGAAAAAAATTTTGCACAGAAACAGCACTGTGGATTTTGTCCCCCATCACGTACACTGGAAGATCATAGGAAGGAATTTCATAATAGCCGGTCTGGACAGCAGGAATTATTCCAGCAATAGTTCAAAAACTGGGGGGTGAAGAGCCACTGCAGGGGGGAGGGGGGGCGTGAATGACCAGGGGGAAAATATGGAGTGGAACTAAGTTGAATGAACATGATTTATGTAGGGAAAAAAAAGAGTTTGCAGATGACCTGAATCATTTATTTAATTTCAATTGAATTCAACTGGGCTCCTTTTTTATGTGTTGCTCCCCCAATCCAATCTGTTTACTTTTTTGGCTTCTGAAGTGAGGCATGATAGAAATAGTCTGAGAACCACTGAATTACGGGAAGCAAAAACATTTTTTTATTAACTGAAAAATTATTAACCTATCCTTTAACACCATCTTTGGGCGCTTGTGTTTCCTATTCAGGTGGTACGTTTGTGCCAGAACCCTAAGGTGGCACTGAAAAACAGCCCGCCCTACATCCTGGACCTGCTGCCGGATACCTACCAGCACCTCCGCACCATTCTGTCCCGATATGAGGGCAAAATAGAGATCCTTGGCGAGAATGAGTATTTTCGCGTGGTCATGGAGAACTTGACCAACAAGACTAAGCAGACCATGAGCCTTTTTAAGGAGGCCAAAGAGCGGATGTATGAGGAGAACTCCCAGCCCAGGTAGACTAATATCCTGATGAAATGTCATTATTTTGGGGAGGCATCAGGATGCAGCATAAGGGTATAAGAGATGTGAAGCAGGGAAAGTGTTTGGGTAACAGACAGATGGTACAAAAATCTGGTTTATCATTGTTTAAGTTTGAGTTGCCTCCATGTCTATGACATAAGCCCTGAAGATAGTCTCAAAGTTAATTCACTACAGATTGCATGGCTTTACAGTACAGAATTGGGCTTAGCATTGGTTGATTTAGAATAGGTGGTCTCATCTAAATGCTAAGTGAAAACCTTTGTACCTATCCAGTTTGTTGTATTTTCAAGGAAGAAGCAAATCTTTTCCAAGCTAAACACTAAATTGTAAGTTAAGCAATTCAAAGGGAGTCCTCTGTCATTTCTGGCCTGTGTTACTGTTTTATTTAAAAAAACATAATTTAGAAACATAGCAAGTACCTAATTTACACTGCAGGTCAATATTAAGTGGGCAGTGACGTATTGACATAATTATAGTGCATGTATGGGCTTTAAGTAGTCCAGGTAACCACTAGATCTTAAAAAAAAAAACCATACAGCTCTGTCTGTTCTTTTGTTGATACCTTTTAAAAAACACTACATGTCCATAAGCGATTGCTAAGAAGTTTCTCCACACTCGATTTTTACAGGTATCGTCTCTGTGATGAAATACAACCTATGATATTTGGCAAAAGTAGACTAGCCAAGTGAACTGAAGTACAATCACTCAAATGTATAAAAAGGGCATGATTAAACTGTCGCAATCACGGCCACTTCCTCTGTTTCTCAGAAAGACCTTACTAAGCGAAAGTTCCTTCCTCTGACGAACTCAGATATTTATCAAACATTTCCTGATAGATGCACTGCATGAACAACTATTGTGCAATCAGCAAATGTATCAGTCACCAGGTCTTTCAATAGAAAAACAAACTGAAATCTTTGAGGGGGAAAAATGAAAAATAAAAACCTTACAATTACCTGGTTGCATAAGTGTGCACACCCTCTTATGACTGGGGATGTGGCTGTGTTCAGAATTAACCAATCACATTCAAACTCGTTAACTAGAAGTCATTACACACCTGCCATCATTTAAAGTGACTCTGATTAATCACAAATAAAGTTCAGCTGTTCTAGTAGGATTTTCCTGATATTTTCTTAGTTGCATCTTCAAACAAAAGCCATGGTCTGCAGAGAGCTTTCAAAGAATCAGAGAGCTCTCATTGTTGAAAGACATGAGTCAGGAGACGGGTACAAAAGAATTTCCAAAGCATTAGCTATACAATGGAACACAGTGAAGACAGTTGTCATCAAGTGGAGAAAATATGGCACAACTGTGACTTTACCAAGAACTGGACCTCCCTCCCTCCCTAATTGATGAAAAGACGAAAAGAAAACTGGTCAGGGAGGCTTCCAAGAGGCCTACAGCCACATTAAAGGAACTGCAGGAATTTCTGGCAAGTACTGGCTGTGTGGTACATGTGACAACTATCTCCCGTATTCTTCATATGAATGGGCTATGGGGTAGGGTGGCAAGACAGAAGCCTTTTCTTACAAAGAAAAACATCCAAGCACGGCTGAAGTTTGCAAAAACAAACATCAAGTCCCCCAAAAGCAAGTGGGAAAATGTGTCATGGTCTGATGAAACCAAGGTAGAACTTTTTGGCCGTAATTCCAAAAGGTATGTTTGGCGCAAAAACAACACTGCACATCACCCAAGGAACAGCATGCCTGGGTCAGGGTGGAGGGAATTATGAACAGTTCCAAATACCAGGCAATTTTGGCACAAAACCTTCAGGCATCGTTTAGAAGGATGAAGAGGAAGTTCACCTTTCAGCACGACAACGACCCAAAGCACACATCCAAATCCACAAAAGCATGGCTTCACCAGAAGAAGATTAATATTTTGGAATGGCCCAGCCAGAGCCCAGACCTGAATCCAATTGAACATCTGTGGGGTGATCTGAAGAGGGCTGTGCAAAGGCGATGTCCTCGCAATCTGACAGATTTGAAGCGCTTTTGCAAAGAAGACTGGGCAAATATTGCCACGTCAAGATGTGCCAAGCTAATAGACTCCTACCCAAAAAGACTGACTGCTGTAATGAAATCAAAAGGTGCTTCAAAAAAGTATTAGTCTAAGGGTGTGCACACTTATGCAACCAGGTTATTTTGAGGGGTTTTATTTTTCATTTTTCCCCCTCAAAGATTTCAATTTGTTTTTCAATTGAATTGTTCACATTATAGGTCACATTAAAGGTGGAAGAAGTTCTGACATGATTTATCTTTGTCTCGTTATTTTATATCATAAGAACCTGGCATTTTAACAGGGGTGTGTAGACCTTTTCTATCCACTGTAAGTCGCATTCATAGTCGGACCTCAGAGTTGCAGCTGTCAAGATGTTTTTGTAATGCTTATTGTGCATGTTTGTTATTCTGATGAGTTTTGTTATATATCCAGTTTAAAAGATTATGACATTTAAGGAGGTGGTCAACAAGGTAAACAAGCAAAGGTGTTTACCTTTGCTTGAAAAGTAACTAAAATGATTATCACAGTAGCTATCTTCTGTTAATCCATTTATCATTTCAGCTTTCATAAAAAACATAAGAGATTAAAAAACTAGACAGAAGTATGAATTTTGATTTAAGATTTTAGAAACTGGCTGGGTTTGAACATTACACCTGTTTGCTCCCTTGCTAAAATTAGTAGAAAAAAGTGGAATCTTTTAAAGCATATGAGTGTACTTTGCCTTGTGTAGTAGTGGATAAGCACACACATACGTGTTTGTTAGATGCCTGTTACTTTTATGAATAGTGATATGAATTTGGACAAATATTAGAACTTAGTCTGATAATGTCCCTTACTAACTTATATTTGTTTCTTTCGTTCTCTCTCTCTTCCTCTTCTCTCACTCAGGCGAAACCTTACCAAACTGTCTCTGATCTTCAGTCACATGCTAGCAGAGCTAAAGGCCATCTTCCCCAATGGCTTATTTCAGGGCGACAACTTCAGGATCACCAAAGCCGATGCTGCCGAATTTTGGAGAAGGTCATTTGGGGACAAGTGAGTTTTTATTTAATCAAATATTAAACACACCAAAAGAGGAAACTATGTAAATTCAGGTGTTTTGCATGCTCACTGAACTTGCAAATTTGGCTGTAGTTTTGTGCTAAGAGCTTGTTTTGCAAGTTTTAAATTGGATTCAATGTTGAGTTAAAGGGACCGGATGTATTTTCTTTTTTTTCTTTTTTTTTTTTAATGAAATCACTTTTTTACTGCTTTTATGGCCTCGCTGAATCAACCAAACTGCCACAACATGAAAGAACGCCAGGGGACAGAAGAGAGTGCAACTGTAGATTTAATACAAAATAAAGATAACCATAATCACTTTAAACTGAAAACAAAAGGGGTTGGAAATCATAGTAAACAGAAAGGGAAGCCGCCAAGCCAGCCTCGCAATGCGCCATTGCCTTGGAAGTTTTCCCCTAAACTAAGAAAACATCAAAACCTAACTAAAATTAAAGGAACGATAAATCTACATCGCCATGAATAAGATGATGAACTAAGGTAATAAAGAGAACCTCTCCCACGGCATAGCTTATGTTGGAAAAGGGAAAAAGCAAAGATGTCTATGACCTGAGACCGTTTTGTTAATCCACAAGAGTCCTCTCTGCATCGCTCTGACGTCCCCCTGTCTGCAAGAAGTCCATGCCCTTAGCTCCCCTCCCCTCGATCATCTAACCACAGGTGCACCACTTTGCATGGACAAGGAAAAAGAGGACAGAGGGGTAAACACAGGCACAAAAGATGAACACATGCAGGGGGAAACCCCATGTAACAGTATTTGTGAACGGGTTGTATCCGCCTGCTTTTTTGGTCTCCTGGAACAAACAACCCCTATTCTGCATTACATGCAAAGAAATTAGGTTGAATTTCCTGCATGCGCGCGCTCCTGAGCCTCTTTGCTACTGATTCTGAACTGTACACACAGCAAAACACACCGCAGCTAACTAAATGGAGTCAACATCAAAAAAAGACCAGCTCCCTGGTCAACACAGACTCCAACACAAACTGCTAACACAATCCGTATTACTATCCTGTGTACCCCTGGTGTTATGTCAAAGTACTGATTTTAGCCTGCAAGAACAATTTAATACTAGCCTATAGTGGTGCAAGGCAGGGGCAGCCAGCTACATTAGCACAGATCTGCCGCTGTTTGCTTTGTAACATTCAATTTAGATTTATTGTTGTTATACCGGTACTCAGGTACACAGCTTTATTGCCCATCAGTCGCTGTAACTTATGTGACCCTACATAATATACAATAATGCAACATAACGGTGCAGGACAACAACACACAGTGGAAGATTCATCCCGTCTTGGGTCTTCTAAACCTCTCCCATAAAAGATACACAAATAGTTTTTGGCAGGCAGACCTCATGCTAGAGGCCACTGAAAACTACTTTATAGCCCCTTTTAAATTTGACTCTCTTTCTCTCTGTTTTAGCTTTCCATTCACACTGATTCTGTTTGGTAGTTGCTGTCTGAGTTTTAGGTTTTGAGATTGTGAACACAGTGTATGGCATTTAAACCATAATGAATGGTTATTTTCCTACAACACCTGTAATTTCGGACTCCGTCCCTCCCATGTACTGTAGGACCATAGTGCCATGGAGGACATTTCGTCAGGCTCTCCACGAGTTTCACCCTATCAGCTCGGGCTTGGAGGCCATGGCTCTCAAGTCCACCATCGACCTTACCTGCAACGACTACATCTCTGTCTTTGAGTTTGACATCTTCACCAGGCTTTTCCAGGTAAGGCTGATAATTAGAGAGCTTAATGGAGATGTCATGGTGTCCACAGATAATAGTAATCCAAAGAAGCATTCAAAAGAACTCACATTTTAGGCAATACAATTTAGAGGCTTTTAGTCATTAATCAGTTCAGAGCGGCTTTAAATCATTATTTGATCATTGATGTTAGAAATTAGAACTTAATTAAAGGTACCCTGTGGAATCTTCTGGTAAACAGACAAAAGTTAGGTTTACATTGTGTTATTTACCAAAAGTAACAACATTTATTTTTTAGGTCTAATGAACCTGTTGAATCCAATCATAGAACCTATATAAAGCTTTTTTATTTAACTTTTGTTTTTATGTTGTCTTCTATTGGTCCAGTGCCTGCCTTAAACGATATTTTAATTAGGGCTGCAGCTAACGATGATTTTAGTACTTGAACTTTTGTAGCCAGTACTTTTATAGATTATTTCATCGATGTGTCGTTTAAGAAGTACTTTTGCTTGCTGGCAACGCCCCCCACCCCGCTAACGGGATCAGCTGACGGGATCAGTACGTTGATAGATGATATTTATTTGTCCTTTCGGAAATTCATAGTGTCATACAGCAAACATCAGATGAACAACATCAACAGACCAACAACCAGACAACTGTTTTACCAACACAAACATCACCCGAGTGCTGTACAAGTTATACTGAGGTGCAGCTCACCGACACAGTTAACTCATGAGTGTGACGTTATAACCCAAACTCACAGCCGAACCAGGAGAACAACAAATGCACGTGTGTGCATTTACAGCTGAGGATAGCGGCTTACTTTGGCTAGCCTCCAACTCAACAATCAATCATGATTTCAGTGAAATGCTAAAGTTTCTGTTACCTTGTCTGTGGTCCGCTTGTGTGCTTTCTGATCAGTTGCCGTTGTGCTGTTGGTAGGCGCGACACAAGTTTCCTTTTACGGTGGATGGACTGACAACAGAGTTGTTTTCTTTTAGCTTGAATTAATCCCATACTTTGGACACTTTCTTCTTCGTCCCACACTGTCTCTTCCTCCACTTTGCAAACAGCACCATCAGTCACGCTGCATCCACACAGCATAAGGGCGATGTGTGACAGTAATAAATGTCTGTGCGAAACAGTGCGCTTTATAATTATATAGATTAAACAAATTTTAGTAATCGATGAATTTTTTCAGCCCTAATTTTAATGTGCATGACTACTATGCATAAAACTTGTTTTGTTTACATCAGTAGCGTTCTTGCTAGTAATCTTCGTCCGTGCCTTTGCCGGCACATTGTTGTATAAGGCTTAAATCCTGTTAGATAAACACTTTTGATATTCTCAACAAAAAACGTCATGTGTTTCTTCAGATTGGTTGTTACTGCAGTCTTTCAGAATCAGATTCCTGCCTAGATATCCTAAAATCAGATTTGAGCAGTAAAGCTGAACAAAGCCTAAAATAGCTGTTATCATGAACACTATTTTCGTGTGTGTGTCTGTCTGTGTGTGTAGCCATGGTCGTCTCTTTTAAGGAACTGGAACAGTCTGGCAGTCACGCACCCTGGTTACATGGCCTTCTTAACCTATGATGAGGTCAAGGCTCGACTGCACAGGTTCATCCACAAACCTGGCAGGTGAGACACAGACGAACCCTTAAAATGACACATTCAAAATACATTTCCGCGTCATCAGCCCGTGTGGACTACAAATACATGGAATTATGGACACTGAAATGCTGCTTCCTCATGATTTTAAAGTTTTGGATAATTCTAAGAGTGATAGGTCGAGTCAAATTCCCAACTGCAGTAAACACTGCCAGTACGTACTGTTGGTTGAGATTGTTTTCTTCCTTCCAGCTACATCTTCAGGCTGAGCTGCACTCGGCTGGGCCAGTGGGCAATTGGCTACGTGACAGCTGATGGAAACATCCTGCAGACCATCCCCCATAACAAACCACTCTTCCAAGCCCTCATTGATGGATACAGAGAGGGATTGTGAGTCCCACTACAACACAATATTAATGCACCAATTTATACATTTTAGGGTATTTGATACGTACATACATACATACATACATTCCTCTAGGGATGGGTAAAAAAAGATTAGAAATCGCAGTTATGACTCCAGAATACCTATTGTTAGTCAGCATGTTGAAGGCATGTTATTGTCTTTTACTGTGTTAATAACAGCTTTCAAATCTTAACAGTAAAATGTATGTGGAAAGCGTACATTAATATGATTTATGTTTATTACTAACAGAAAACATGATACTACCTGTGCAGTGCTACAGTTTCACCTGAGTTTACCTTAAGACCCTTCGGAATCTATTGTTCTGATTGGTATGGTGGATTGTAAAGGCTTATAATAATAATCCTTTTTTAATAAAAATGTCAGCAATTAACAATGTAAAATAACTTATTGTAGCCATGTATTACAGCATGCATCTTGTTGCAGCATGGAAGGAATGCTCCTCTGAAAACACATCTTTAAAGTATCAAACATTCCTTCAATGTGGCCCTGAAAGGCAGCTGTAACAAAAAAAACATGACATAAAATTAAAGGTACGTGAGCAGAACTCCAGTTTAAATACGCTTCACCAATCAGCTGAGGCAGGGATTCTTGATCCTAAAGCTGCTCTAAGCATTTTTTATTTTTTTTTAATGAACAAATGAATGTGCAACGTGAAAGGAATCCCTTGAAGTGACGAGAAAATTATTACGAACTCTGTAGTCTCCCTCCCTTTTTTTTATTTTTTTTTTTATTTTTTTATGGTTGAGTTAAGGAATACTATTTAATACCGACCATTGTGTGTTTACTGTGGTTTTCTAGCTATCTGTTCCCAGATGGTCGTGCACAGAACCCAGATCTAACAGGGCTGTGTGAACCTTCTCCACAGGACCACATCAAAGTTACTCAGGTTTGGTCTTGTTTGTGTCTCAGTTGCAAACCAGTCAACCCTGTCACAGGAAAGATGTTTTTAGTATGAAGCTGCATAAGGCAAATTTTGTTAACCATGTTATGCTAAAATATTTTTCTGCTTGATAGAAGAAGACATGGACACATCTTTAACAAAACCTTAAAGAATAAACAATCTTAATGATGATAACGAATGGCCTTCATTATAAGCAACCCATGTCGCCTCTTCATCCCTGCAGGAGCAGTATGAGCTGTACTGTGAGATGGGCTCCACTTTCCAGCTCTGTAAGATCTGTGCAGAGAACGACAAGGATGTAAAGATCGAGCCCTGCAGACACCTGATGTGCACCTCCTGTCTGACTGCCTGGCAGGTGAGGCCACCACCACATTGTAAAGTTTTATTACATAGAGGCTCTGTAAATCCTGGCTATCCAAAAGGGGGAAAGGGGAAAAGGGAAGTCCATTCCTTTGATGTTAAGGCTTCCTCCCATGAGTTAAACATTATTTCCAGTTTCTTCTTTGTTGACATTGACACTGTAAAGATGCTGCTGTCAGTGAAACGCAACACTTCCTGCTTATGTTTCACAATAAAAGCCTTTCAACCCCTCAAAGGGCATACTCCCACCCTATCCTTTTGGGGTTTTCATTTAAAAAGTGTTGAGTTTCAATGACAATCACTTGACACTGACATCAAAATAAAGGAAATGATTGGTGCATCAGTGTGACATTGCTGTTGCTGGACCAATGGAATTTGTGCGGTGGGAATGTATATTATGCTGAATTTCCCCACAGCATTATGTCCATAAGAGCAACATCATAATGTTAAACTCACCACTCTGTTGCTCTGAGTTTCAGAACAGAAATAGTCTCCTCACTTAGCGATTCATTAATTCAGTGCAGTTTTGCTTCCCCATTCTTAAGCTCAACATTCTTCAAAGTTAAGCTGCTGTTAAAGAAATGTTGCTCTTCCTGCAGATGTTGTCAATACTTACTTCCCTTCTTCACTTCTTTAACATTTTTTAGACTTTGGGATCATGGATTTTGCTTTTAAACAATGTCAATTGAAGTATAACATGAAACATGTGGAAGAACTAAAGGGATTAAAATACTGTACCCTGCTGTTTTCATCATCACTTTTATTGCTTCACCCTTAAGCTGATGCTCATTGGTAGTTTGCGTTGGAGACATTTCAGCTGTAATTTGTGGTTGAGCAAAAGTTAATGTCTCATCATATCTGACAAAGACCTTAACTCTGCTCTCAAACTTGAAACTTTGCTTGCTGTGTGTATTTTTCAGGAGTCAGAGGGTCAAGGCTGCCCGTTTTGCCGCTGTGAGATTAAAGGCACAGAGCCCATTGTAGTGGACCCCTTTCACCCGAAGGCCAGTGGGGCTTCCTTTGCTGGTTTCCAGGGGTCCAGCAGAGCAGAAGCTGCCTGCAATGACGAGGAAGATGATGATCGCCTCGAGGACCAGCACCTTGTCATGAGCAGACTGGCCTGCACCAAGGTAAGGGTAAGAGGAACACATACATGAACCGTCAAATACACAAACACGGGGCTAGGTATCGTTCAAAAATGTTCAATACTGATACCTTGAATTAAATATCCGTTCCTGATGGCAGAAACAGATCCTTTACAGATCCTGATTCTACAATGGCATCAATATGCCTTTGTAGATGTAGAAGAAGGGAATGTGGTACTGGGAAATAGCAGAGTGAGACCTCTTTCTTTCTAAAGAGCAGCTACCCTGGTCTGACAACTATCCACCATCAACTTCAGGACTATTTCTCTCTGTTCACCTGGTGAACACACTCTGTCTCTGCTCCATTTTATCCATCCCTCAGTGGCAAGAAAAGGATGTGTGGTGAACGGGCTCACTGTGGAGCAGATACAGGTTAGCTGGAATGGCTAGCTAACAAGCAACGCAAAGTTCACTTATCTGTGCAGATAACTAGCTGGCAGTGAGCCCTGTCTCTGGTCGTAATGTTCTGTTTTTCCGCTTGCCTCTACGACATGTAACGTTAGACAGCCAATCACCAGCGTTTTTGGATCATGTTTTGGAAGCATGTTGGGTGCTTATTGGCTCAGTGACGCGGATGAGATTTACTCCTTGGGTATCAAAATTACTCGGTAGTATACACTCGGTAGTAGTAGACACTCACCTGATAAGATTTAGTATCAGGAATCTGTGGGATCATTTTAGTCACTGCTCACTAAGTTGACTTTTGTAAAACGGTCTTCATTGTATTAGTTTGGATTATAGTGATGTCATATAAATCTCATTGCTCTGTGCCATGCATGCAACATCTCTAATGAATGTGTGCAGGTAGAGCGCCCACCGTCTCCAGTGTCTCAGCTGCCACCGGTGCCCCCCAGACTTGACCTCCTGCAGCAGCGACCCTCCAGTGTCCACAGTGCACAGAGTCAGGGGGCCACAGCTAAGGTAAGTGTGTGTGTGCACTTAAGTGGAATAGAGGTCCATCAGGACTTGAGGTTAGAATTATGGAAAAGGGCCACATTTTTTCAAGTCTTTTGTAAAACAATACTCGTTTCCTATAGGTACATTGGTTTTTGTAATTGTTCTCCGTATACACACTGGCTACAAAATCTACAGTCTTCTTTCTATGCAAAAATACATTTCAAAGTTCAAATGAAGCTAATATGAGGCTTCAGCTGTCTGAGTTAAACAAGTTAGTCTGTATCTTCTAAAGATATAAAATGACCTCTTTGTGTTATGCTTTGCTTCTGCCGCAGCTCACGAAGGAAACACTGTCAGGGGAAACCAAAGGAGGGATTTTTGTTGTAAAGAATAACTTTGGAAAACAGCCACTTGATTTAAGTGAGACTGCTGAAGCCTTATATAAGCTTCAGCTGAACCTATAATAAAATGTGCACGGAAACAGGACTGTGGATTTTTCATTGAAGACACATTAGGGATCTCCTCATGGCCAGCACGAAGAGGAGGAATGATAACAGCAATAATAACTCTTTCAGTCTGTACGTGTATATGAGCATGTGAGGAAAAAATAAAAAGACAAAATGTGAATTAGAAGTAAGTTTTAAAAAATCTTTTATTTATCAGGAGCAGATTGGCAGACACAAACAAATGATTTGCGTTCTACCACCAGCCAGTACAGAAGGTCAAGGGTGGGTGGGTGTGTGTGTGTGTATTCACATCTCTGCTGGCTAACACCACCATCCACTCCTACCTCCACCCCAGATACCAGCCACTCACAGAGACAAGCCTCTACCTCTGCCTCCAGCCCTGAGAGAGCTGCCCCCTCCTCCCCCTCCAGAGCGCCCCTCCCTTGTTGTCCAGGACTCCAGACTCCAGAGGAGACCCCTGCCCTCCACCCCAGACCAGTCTGCCTGGGCTTCCAACTACATGGTCCCACGTCCGGTAACCAAGGCCCTGTCAGGCCTGTCCCCCACACCTCAGGGCAACGGAACCAGTGGAGAGGGAAGCAAACCCCAGGCAGCTACTAACGCCATCTACTGCCTGGCTGCAAGGTACAGAGCTCTGCTTTTTGAAAGGCAGTGTATAGGTAGTAACATGCTGGGACAGAATTTAGACTTTGACACAATCACAATACAAAGAGTTAATATGTAAAATGGCTTTTGTCCGGTTGAATATAACTGCTAAACCAGCATACAGTAGCTCTTACACCAGTGAGTCAGTAAAATTATTTTAACCATGTAGGATAAAAATAAATTAATGATTTTCCATGCTTTTCATACTTATTCATTGTGTGACCACATTGTCCTTGGCAGACTTATATCAGCTTCTAAATATGATGGTTGCTATTTTGAGGCATATTATAAGCAAAATTACCCCGTTTTGATTTTATGTACCTTTACACGATGCTAGAAAACAGTAGACATTAACAATGATATGAACCAAATTATACACACGAAAGGCACATGTTTCTTTTCCATCTAAACATACATGAATAGATACTGTATTGTAAATATTATCTGCCCAGTAGGGCTGGGCGGTAAATCTGTATATGAGGTGTACTGATATAATTTCAAAAGATATGAGATTAGACAATACCATTTATACCAATATAGTTTGATGTTGAGTTAATTAATGTTTCCGTAAAGTCCTGCCAGTGTTTGCTCCCCTCTCTCGCTCACCACGCAGACCCGCCCCTCCCTCTGCATCTGCACGCAGCCGTCTACTTACAAAGTCTCTAACAAGACGGAGGGAGATGTTGGTCGACACTGTGAAAGACCTGGCTTGTAAAAAGAAAAACACGGTTCATTCAGTGTTTCCCACACAAACACTTTACTTTGGCGGGCCGCCCAGGTTAGGCGACACATTGTAGCATTTATCAGAGAAACACGGTGATTACGTTAAAAGTCGCGACACTGTGGATATTTTACAAGAGCGGACCAGGTAAAGTGACAGTGAACACACCAGTCAGATGTTAGATTACATGTTGCCGTCTAACTGAATTGTGGGTTTTCAAATTCAAGCATTTACTGTGATTAAAAAAAACACAAAAACCCCTCTAAATTCAAGGTTCACTTATTTAGCCATTACCAAATAGTTTCCGGCTGTAGAAGGCTGGGCAATACAGTTGACAGCTTTGGGAAAAGCAAAGTGAGACCTCTCAGTGAAAAGTGAACAGTGAGTTTATAATTTTTATCACCGTCTGTATTCCAGATGTCAAGAATAAACCAGCTTTCATGCAAGTTTTTGTAACCTCAGATCTCTCAAATGAGAACCTAATGGAAAAAGTTGAGACATTCCCATCATGCTTTGTGTTGTCTGTGGTCAGATCTCTGCCAGGGTCCGTGGCGTCGGCTGGGGAGATGCCATCGTCTGACGGTGAGGAGAATGAGTACATGAGTCCCACCTCTCTTCCAGCCCCTGGGGCCTCCTGGATCATAACAGGCTCCTTGGTGCCCCCACCGCCGGCCCAGGCAAATCACAACAATGACATCAGGTAAACAGGAGAACCAGCGGTGGTGCAAGGGCTCCACAGGGCCATTCATTGCCCTGAAGTGATAAGTGTTTATCAAGTGTCTCAGTGTGGAAATTGGTCCTTGGACAAAATTTTTTAGAATGGGCTTAGGACTAAGTGATTTATCCATTGCATGAACATAACATAATATGTAGCCATTTTGTTTCCACTTTTCCCATTTGGGAGAACTATAAATTTCAGTATCGGCATCTAGAATAAATTAGGATTCTACACAACAATGCAGGGAAATAATTAAAAAGATGAAACAAGATTTTAGAAAAGTAAAGGATCACAGTGTGTGCAGTGGAGCAAACCGACAAACTGTCATATTAGAACCACGTCTTCCACGGTCTGTTTCTTAACTGCTTACTTTAAAGACTTATCCACAGATTTACAATTCAATTCATATAAGATTGTTGTGCTCACAAAAATTGATGCAGCAGAACCAGAAATGGTGTCTTTTTTTTACTTCATGCATTATTCTTCCTTGTCAAAACCTCGGCTTACATTACCCACAATGCAACCTACAGTTCAGTTGGCGATTCAGGTGTGATGCTGGTTTTCAGCCATAGACTGTATATAAGAAGTTTGCAGCTAATGATAACAGCAATGATAACTGGATAGGGTTGCACATACTACAATAGTACTGGACTAAATACTACATCTGGAGCAGTTATTTATTAATCCACCAGGGGGCTCTGGAGCCTCAGTGGTAGTGGTGCATAAACCCACAACTCCCTTTCACTTATTTGCTGATTTTCATTTGCCTTAATAAATAATTTTTAGGCGGTGATGCTGCAGTGTGTGACACAAAGGCAGCAAAGTTACTCATCTTTTTATGTTTGAAATAGAAAAAACACATCAGAAATCCAGAGAATTATTTTCAGTTTTTGAAGAGCGGACAAAAATGCCAAATATAATCTTGCTCTCACTCCTCCCCCCCCCCCCCCCCTCAGCACTGAGGTGGTTGACAGTGACTTTGAGGACCCCCAAGTCTACGAATCTATGTGTGACATCCAGGCCCAGGCTGGTTCCTCTGAGACAACACAGACCTCTGACCTGGGTAACATTCACACCTAATCATCACTGTAATATTTTGCTGTTTCACTTCAAGTCTTTTTATCCATGTTTTTGGGCCAGCATTACCCTGGCGCTGAGCCCCTAATACAGGCGTGGAATGCATTAATACACTATTGTGTGTGTGTTACAGCTAGCATTCATTGCGTAAGTTTCTTGAAAAAGCACTCTAAAAATTAGGGGAAATTTTTATTCACTGCTGTTGTACCCCAGTCAGCCAGAAGAGAGAGTACTTTCAACAACTCCAAAGCTGTCTTTGTTACCTGTTGTGTTTTCTTAGCAAGCCAGTCACCAATCAATACCAGTTTTATTACTGGTATCACTGATCACTTATTGTAATCACATTAGTTTTTCCAGTAGTGTGGTACTACGTGCTTTGCTAAGGGGAGAAGTTATCAGTGTAAAATGTAAGCTGTGTACTGGTGCTTAATTCACAGCTGTTATATTGCATTGCAGGTACATACATGAATTGTATACTGACTACAGGTAGTAACCACTGTGATGCTTGTTTTTCAGACCTCCCTCAACATTCAGTTGCGGTTCCCCAGGACAAGATGGAAGAAACCAGTGTGGAGGATGTTTACATATACGACTGTCCCAGACCGGTCGTCCCTCTCGCCCCCACCAGGAGAGCCCAGTCAGATATCAGCGGCCCCTCAGCTGCCTTCAGCGCACTCAGCATGGATGGTGCAGTAGAAGCCAGTATGTATTTCTGTAAATTGTTCTGTGTTTTTCTAGAACATCTGCTGTCCTTAGGCAAAATACCAGATTTAAAGATTATCTCTTTGGTGATGAGGACACAGTTTACCTACTAGTTCTCAGACAGATAGTAAACAGGCATAACACGTCAATGCCCACAGCGTGTGTGTGTGTGTGTGTGAAGGCTTTGAAGGGCTTTTCTTTAAGAACAGCTATTTAGATTCACCAATCTTTGTACTTATTAGTTTAAATCTAGAGACATTTATGAAAAATTCTTTCAACCAGCATTATAAAGCATTTTAATAATTTAAGCTTAACAGTTCACGCCTGACCTTGGAAACAGCAGATGACAAAACAGTCTCAACTCAAGGTTCACTTACTTATTTGTTTCTCGAGCTTTCATCCAGTCACACAGTCGGAGCTCCTCTGGATGAGAAATCGTCATATCATATTGCCTTTAAGCTTGGTAGCGGCCCGTCTGCTCCCATCAACCCTTCCTATCCATTATGCCTTTAACCACTGAACATGGACAACAATATTTTTGCAAATTTCCCACAACACTTACCTACAAGAAGACAAAAGGAAACGCACACATACACTCTTCAACTGGGTCACTGAACATTTAGACCTCCTAAATCTACAAAATAAAAGATTTTAAACAAAAAGCAATAGTTGCAAAATCTCCACTGAGCTACGTGAATACTGTCTGTATTCTTGGAATGTTTTTAGTGATTGACCAAAACATGTTTCATGGGTCATTCAAGTATCCGTCTGCAGAGGCAAAAAGAGCCAACATGTCACTCATCATAGTCTGCTGCATGCTTAAGTGTTACCATAAATCTTAAATATCTACTAGGGATCATTAACTATCTTTGTTCACTAACAACAATCTAAAACCTCTGTTTTCCTTCAGGTACCCAACACAGTTTTCCACTTTCACCGACTATTGTCTACTTACCTGTGTGTTTCCAGGTGTGTTTCCAGGTATGTTTGCAGCAGCTGTCGAACCTGAACGTCCCCCGAAACCTCTCCCACGGCGAGCCAACTCAGACCAGCGGCCTCGCCCTGCAAACCGTGAATTTTCTGCTCCATTGCCAGACCTCCCTGGTCCCTCCTCCTCCCCTGCCCCCACCCCTCCTCCTTCTGCTCCTCCTCCCGCAGGACCTGGGAGTCTGGCCCTAAACGGGGAGATCGAATGCCTGGTGTCCCAAGGCTACTCTATCCAGGACATCCAGAAAGCCCTGATGATCGCCCAGAACAACCTGGAGACTGCCAAGAACATCCTACGCGAGTTTGTCTCTATCCCCTCCACGGCACATATCGCCACATAGTCGCTCCAGAAACGCCCATCCTCTCTGTCTTGTCTCCGTCTCCACTCTGTGCCATTACCATGGATAGCATTTACCAAGCACTTTCCTGCAGGGCCACAAGTACTTGCCAAAAGGCTTTACTCTGAGGAGTAATGTTGCGTTCACGTCATATCAGAAGATGCAGACTAACAGGAAGTACTTGTCATTGAAATACTCTCATCCTTGCTTTTCTAAATGGAGTTTTAGTGTGAAAATATATTATTTTGAAAATCTTGGATCTACTGTTATTCCAGTGCCAAGTGGTTGACATTAAAGCCTCAATCTCTTGTTTACTCGTAATTGCCGCTTGAAGATTGAGGTGTTCGGCCTAGAAAGAGCACGAGGCTCCCTAGACTGTAAGCATCCATTGGTTGGTCAGTTCAAACTTTTGTCCGTGTTTGGTTTTAAGGAGCAGCTCAGCAGAGGCAGGCAAGTCCGATATGACCTGAACGCAGCATACATGGAAAGTTTGAAGCCTTTTAATGTAAGCTCTCTGTAGCCAAGCTTGTACCCTGTTGTACTCTGCTGAGGTCCACTCGTGCTGTGGCAGTGTTTCCCTTCAGAGTACGTTCCCTCATTAAGCTAAGTGTTGAAGCTACAGTGACTTTGATCAGTAGAGGGAGCCTGCGGATCGTTGTTCCTGACTCTGTGTCCCACTGCTGGCAGCCATTCACTCTGGTGCTTTACGGGCTTCTTGGCAAATCGTGGCGTACGAATAGGTAGCAACGCGAGTTTGGTCGGAAAATTTGCGATTAACTTTGTGGTGTGTATGTGTGTGCGCTCTCTTGCAGATGAATGTGAATGTTCAGTCGCAGTGCAGTATTGCAGGGCTTCGTGTTGTACTGTGGCTCACTCTGTTTCGATGGTATTTGACAAGTCGAGCGTGACTCCATACTTCCCCTCAGCTCCCAGTTCAGTGATGGTTTTATTATGAAATGACAGGTTTAATGTTTCAGTACTCTCATAAGGTGTTGTGCTGTGTATAGTACTAACAATGACTGAATTTTCAGATGTTTATTTTGTCATTTAATTCCGTGATTGCCTGCCACCAGTCCAGGTGGTCTGACACTGAAGGCTGGTGTATTTACTCAAAAGCTTCAGTATACTCTTGTAGTTTCTTACTAAAGTGCGAAAGGATTTCTTAACTCAACATTACATTTCTACCCACAACAGCTTCAGTGGGTTTGCTAAGAAATCAGATTGAAGAGATTTACATTGAGCTCTAAAGCATGGAAAACCTGAAATTTGTCATGTGGACTCAGGTACTCAGTAATAAGCCAGGGTTGAATGTAATGAATGAACAGATAAAGGACACGTAGGACACGTAGGGATGACGATGTAATGTTGGCAGTGTTGTGGACGAACACTAACGACACATTCCAAGGATTGGATTTTCTCTTCTTACCTTACCCACATCAGCTTTACATACAATCACTAGATATATATTTTAAAATTAGTTTTGCTTCCGCGGGTTCATTTACGTCCTCTAGTTTAAAACTCTTAAGATGTCTGATTTAGTTATAGTTGTCAACCCATCATAGTACATATCAGTCCTGGATCCAAAGCTACGCGGACATTTCTGTCACTCAGCAGTTATAGCATTTGTTGCAGGATGAATCTTGAAAACACCAAGTCACTGGCTGGTACACAACCTTCTAAGCAGCTTATATTAAAGCTTAAGTGACTAATCAATACACAGAAAATGGATCTGCAAGTGAAACAGAGTAAACTAAATAGTCATCAATACTTGTGGGTTTCACTCAGGTTTTTAGATTTCTTCCAAGTGGATCAGTAATGTGCAGCTGTCCTTCCCAGTCACCTTATCCTTACTTTTATGATGCATCATATTAACCCAACCACAGGATCATGGGCACATTTAGAGCAAAGATGAAAAAGATGTCTTGAGTCATTAAAGCAGGGAGTCTGATCGGAGTCCAGGACTACATCAGTGCAGAATACAAATCCATTGTGAGAGAAGCGCCATCCACTGTAAGATGGCTCTTCCTTATTAATGCGCACATAACACTGCCAGGAACAAGACAGGACTGAGTATCTCATTTGCATTTTCACATTTAACCGGAAAAGGTGTCCGTAAGTGTCCCCTTTTAACTATGAGTGCAATTTCTTTTTTTTCACTTCCCAAAATGATCTTCAATGGTCACTTTTCAGCTGTAATATGTTGATGTGCCTTCTGTCCATCGCAGCCCGCACATGCCAGCAGACGATACCAAAACAGATCCTCGACGTTTAATGCTTGAGTGAAATGGAAATCTAAACAGTTTTCGATTGGACGATGTTCTAAGATATCCACTTACTGTCACTAACAATATATCAAGAGTTTGGAGTTGGCCCTCCACATGGGGTCGTTTGATATGCAGACAGCGTCACAAGAGATTTAAAGCCCAATCAATACTTTTTTTTTTTAGGCCTGAATTAAAAGTTGAATTAAGTTGAGTCTTCTGTCCCTTCTGACAGGGAGAGTATTTGCACAACTTTGTGGACACGTGCTTATGACGTACAGGCTCTGCCATACTGAGTTGCTGCTGTCGTTACAGGAAAAAACAAAACTGGTATACTGTGAATACAGAGAGATTTACCTGGCGATGACAGGCTTAATCAGCATTTATGTGAACTCGGTTGGTAAGGCCTTGGCTGTGAGGTGTTCATTCATATGTAAAAGTACCGCACTCTAGCGTTAAATACAACAGTTAGGGAGATATTTCTCCCTGGTGGACAAACTATGTAATGACAACATAGTTTCTAAATATAGAAACAGGTCATTGTCACGGTTACACACTGCATTCACTAAAGGAGAGAAAAATGCTTTTTTTGGCCAAGTATTTAGTTTTGTTGCAATTATGAGGTACTTTTTACTAATTCTAATATAAACAATTTCATAATAATAAACAGTCTCCAACTTTTGAATGTAATATGCAACCCGTACTGACTTGTACATTGACACGAGGGGTGGGCAGATTGATCCCCTAGGCATTGAAATTGCCAATACAAAGTCTTGTTTTGAAAGTCAATACTAGCATCAGTAAAATGAATGGATCCATGACATGTTTTGCCACATCCTGGTCACACAGTGCTGCAATATTTTTCATCTCTGCTGCTGTTGGTGTGCAGTCACCTCTTTAGTTCAGAGAACACACATAATAATGAACATGTTACAATATTATTTGCCATTAAAAACGGCCTGTGTTTAAACATTGATATTAAGTCATTAAGTCACAAAGAATAATAAAAATAAATGCTGCATGTTTGACAAATGATAACACTGATTAGTTGTCAGTAATGACAATAAAATGTTTTCTGTATTGATGTCTGTGATCCTGGCCATGTTGATAATGATTATGATAAGTATCTGATTGAAACCAAATTTTGTGGCATCACCCACCCCTAGTTGATGCTGGCATTTGTCATTATGCATATTTTTTATTTGATTTATTTTGAAACATGTCTATACATGTCTGTCTCTTGAAAACAACAGAAGTATTCCCTAATGTGATTAAAGTAGTCAGGAAACATACGTGTACAATAATGTAAAACCATAGGGAAAATCAGTAAAATGAGCAAAACTCTGATCATGCTGGAATTTTAGTGTACATTGATCATGTCCCTGCTTAAATCTTGCACCTTTAATTGCCCCAAACCAAAAGCAGCATGTTGGCCTCAGCTCGTGTTGATTTACAGAGAATGTGTCTTCAGTCCCTTGGCTTTGTGTTCACTCGATCTCAGTGTTTGAACAGCTCTAACAGGGACTAACTCTTGACCATGGAAGTGCCGCTGTGTGAGGATACACTTGAGGCACGCCAGAGGCCCCACTGTCTCTCTGGCGTGTGCGCACGAGCCCGCCCACACACACTCACTCTCTCTCTTTCCCTCAGAGTCGCTGTTAAACTGGTGTTTGTTCGGATCCACTGGTTAATGATAATGTGTGGCATAATCATGGTATAACTAGCCTTTTCAACAGAAACTTGCCTACTAAAAAGTTGTCTCTATTGCTTCTTGTTGTTGCTTGTGTAAATATGATTTTATTTATTGTCTTTTTAATATCCTCAGCATTCGTTGTTGCCATGTTTCCATGCCTAAGCCATTAAGATTTTTAATTAAACAGTATTTTCTTTAACATTTGATCTGTCATTTCTCCGTAATGACCAAGGACTGTTCGCTGTTTACATTTACTCATTTGGCAGACTCTTATCAAGTGACTTGCATTTGAGGAACAACATACAATCATTAACAGAGCATAAAATACAGCACAAGATCTACAACTGACAATACATATTAATAAAAGCAGCAATAAATGCTAGTAAGCGCTTATGGCACATATCTCATCAATGGCATAAATACCTAGGGAAAGAAGTTAGCAAAGAGTTAACAAAGTGCAATCAATACAAGGTAATTGTAGGGCATAGAAGAAGAGCACAGGAAGTGCATGTTAGGAGTTAGTGTTATAAGAGGAAGCGTTCTCGGAAGAGATGAGTTTTCAAGAGCTTCTTGAAGTTGGAGAGGGACGCCCCTGCTCTGATGGCATGTGGTATCTCGTTCCACCACCGTGGTGTCACGGATGCGAACAGCCAGGACTGGGATTGCTTTGTGTAAAGGGATGCCAGAGCCAGGCGGTGTTCGTTGGAGGACTGCAGTGGCCGAGAAGAAACATAAACTTGTATTATGGAGTTTAGGTAGATGGGTGCAGTCCCAGTAGTCACTCTGTATGCAAGCATTAGTGACTTGAATCGCATTCTGGAGGCCACGCGTAGCCAGTGGAGGTCACACAGCAATGGAGTGACATGCGTCCTTTTGGGCTGATCAAAAACCGGACGCGCTGCTGCGTTCTGAATCATTTCTAGGTGTTTCACCACACAAGCTGGAAGACCCGCTAGGAGGGCATTGCAGTAGTCGAGGCGAGAGGTAACTATGGCCTGTACCAGAAGCTGGATGGCATAGTGAGTGAGGTAGGGCCAGATTTTTCTGATGATGTATAGAGCAAAGCGGCGTGACCGAGAGACAGCAGCAACATGGTCTGAAAAGGACAGCTGGTCACCAATCATGATACCTAAGTTTCTCAACACCTTGGTTGTTGTGATGGTTGAGGAGTCAGTTTGTAGTTTGATAGATTGAACACCAAGAGTTCAGTCTTAGAGAGATTTAATTGAAGGTGGCAAGCCTTCATCCATGCAGATATGTCCGAGACAGTCTGTGATCCGCGCCGAGACGGTGGGGTCGTCTGGCGGGAAGGATAGGTAGAGATGCATATCGTCTGCGTAGCAGTGGTAAGAAAAGCTGTGCGAGCCAATGATCGGCCCCAGTGAGGTGGTGTAAATTGAGAAGAGAAGGGGCCCTAGCACTGAGCCTTGGGGTACCCCTGTGGAGAGGCAGTGGGAGGAGGAGAACTGCCTTTGCCACAAAACATTGAGAGATAGGATTCGAACCACAGGAGTGCTTTACTTGAGATGCCCATTGCTGAGTGTGGATAGGAGGATCGTGTGATTGACTATGTCAAAGGCAGCTGATAGGTCAAGCAGGATAAGAACGAGGATTGTTCTGTAGCTTTAGCTGACCTTAGGGCTTCTGTTACAGACAGAATAGCTGTTTCAGTAGAGTGGGCACTCTTAAGACCAGATTGACATGGATCGAGGAGGTCATTCCGTGAGAGGAATTTTGAGACCTGTTTGAAGACTGCCCGTTCGATAGTTTTGGATAAAAGTGGTAGAAGAGAAACTGGCCGATAGCTCTCAACTTGAGTTGGGTCGAGTGAGGGCTTTTTAAGCAAGGGTATAACCCGAGCCCTTTTGAAAGTGGTCAGGAAGATTCCTGAAGCCATAGAAGTATTTATCACATGAGTGATTGCCGGGACCGCAGTATGAGATATGGCTTGGAAGAGATTCGTAGGAATCGGGTCCAGTGGACATGTAGTGGGACGGCTATGGGTCAGTAATTCTGATACTTCGTTCTCCATGAAAGGAGTAAATAAGGAGAGTGAAGTGCCATTGTCCTGGGAGGGCAGAGGATGTAGTAGGACTGCTACATGTTAGCCTTGGCGCTGAGCCTTTTGCGCCATTTCCCGAGGGAGATGGAGGGAAACATGTATAAGGACTGCTACATGATAGGTTTTCCTGTGCCGAGCTCACACAGTTGGAGCTGACCAGGGGGGAACAGAATGGTTGAGAGATTTAGAGAATTGGCTAGTTATAGCCGGCACTTTTCCTGTGAAGAAGGCAGCAAAGGTATCAGACAAGTTTGTGGGTGGAAGAGGATTTAGTAGCGTTTTAGTGGAAAAATAATGTCGTTGAGTCAGTGGCACTGCTTATTCTGTCATTATAGAACGCAGTTTTGGCAGCACTGATCCTTGTTGAAAAGGAGGATAGGAGCAGTTGGTAGCCCTTAAGGTCGGCAGGGGCTTTGGTTTTTCGCCATTTTCTTTCAGCGGCTCTGAGATCAGTACAGAACACACGGATGGTAAGATGGTTAGTCCCGGGTAGGACTGGTTCGGGCAGGCAGGCTTGGTGGATAGACACAAACTTTTTTGAGTAGTAAACGGCTACCTCAGAATAAAACAATACTTGCCATTTTGTGCCAGTTTCTTATAGGCATAAGAGCAGCACCTTTGGTTATTTAAAGCCAAATTTAGTTTAAGTAAAATTTGAAAATCTCCAGCACTCATTGGTTTATAAAAAAAAACAAACTGAAAGGCAGCAATGCATTTGAGCAAATGTAAGCCAAAATAAAAGAAGCAAGAAACATGCTTCACGTTTGCTTTGCAGTATCTCCTAAAACTTTTTAAACATGTTGTCACCTGGGGTTGTACACTTTACGCTAAATTGAGAGTGGCTGATTTGTTTTGCACGATGGGCAGCTACGAGGCGTTTGAATTTGTTGCAGATGTGAGCTGTGTTTTCTGTCCTTCCTCCATCCAGACTCCAGCTGGAAATCTGAGCTACTGTTGGAGTCATTTCCAGCTCGTGCTGACAGCGGTTTGGATGGAGCGCTCCTTCCTGTCTCCTCGCTGTGGGTCTGTGAGGCGCTAACAGAGCACACAGCGGTTCTGCTTCATACTGAACCTTCTGGCAAAAGAACTACTCCTACATACCTCTGCAAAAACAATGATAGAAAAAACAGTCTCTCTTTAAATGAAACATTTTTATTTGGCATTATTTTTTTTGCAAAAAATATAAAACAAAATGCAAGCGTCAAAGAATCACATGTACGGTACGTAATTTACACACATTTAGAAAAACTTGTTTTCCCACAGGCGAAAAATCCATAACAACAAAAAAGATGGTGTATTTAAAGTTGAATTAAACTGAAAAGACGCGGTGTAGATTTCCAGATTAAATCAGAAATGTTTGACTGCACATCAGAGAAGGTTGGGGTTATGGTTTTGTGCAGCTTCTCTAAACCATAATAACCGCGTCACACTGCACATGAGGACACGTCTCGCCTGAGGACGTCCTGTACCTGGATTATTAACTTATTAACACCTCAACTCAGTGGAGAAAAAAAAAAAAAAGACAACAGAAAAAAAAATCACTACTTTGTTAATGTTGCAAGTCATCTGGGCAATGTGGCGCTCGCAGCAACAAAATGTTCGTCACAATAACCTATACACAGTGAGCTATCAGTACATATTCACAACACGGGCCCTTAAAGGAGCATAGCAGTGTTGTTGCATGTTTTAGCTGGTTTACTATAAATCAGGCACACTGACCATCTAAGCATCCTGTAGAATAGCTCCAGTTTGTGTCTCAAAACCAGAAGGTCTTAAAAACAAACAAACAAAAAAAACCCCCCTCTTACTTCTAAAGGTATTTCAAAATTCCTCAAAAGCTTTTTTTACCCATCAGGATGTTTTTTTAAATGCCACCCACTGCACAATATAAAATATTTTTAACCCATTTTCCTAAGATGGTGTCCAGAAAGTACACAAGAATAAAAAACATGAGTCAGACCCAGATGTTACTTTCAGTTCTGCAATGACTGGCATTATGTCACAACTGTGGATAAAATTTAGAATTCTTTTTTTGTCGATTGTTCTTGATAAATATTTTCATACAGAAGAGAGCAAGGTGATGTGTCATATCTGGTCATTGTTTTAAGGAAATACAGTTTCATATTAGAAAATGGGTTAAAAATACAGCGGATGGAATATTTGGTTGTTGCAGAAGACTCTTTAAGAAGCCTGGAAACACCTTCAACAAAACAACACGAAGTGTTAGGCAACAGCTTTCTCAAAGATCATCACATTTTCTTTTTCCAAAAAAAACTCTGATGCTTAGCTCTGTGACTTGAATGCAGTGATGATACATCATAAACTGGAGAGAGCTATACTTAGACATTCAATGTATTTCTACCTTCCACAACCACTGCTTTACATTTATTTCACGTTTTTAAAAAACACGTTGAAACTTTAGACTTGATGGAGTTCAGTAATCCATCACAGAGATTAACATCCATGCCTGCGATTAATGTTGTTAAAAGATCCTCAAACTGTACAGAAACGAACAAAAACCTATACTGAATGGTCAGCAGTACTGTATGTGTTATCTGTAGTAAACATGTCAAACATGCACAAACACTCGAACACTTCTTCAGGTCAACGGTAAAGAGCTGCCACAGAGGAGCAGCTAGTGTTTGGTCTGACATCATATCCTGTCCTGAAACTCACCTGGACCCATGAACATGGATCAGCATGCACATGACCCAGAGGGTACCGTGAAATGAAAATCTGAGTGCCAAAATATCTTAAATAACAAAATATATATAATATATACACTTTCATAAAAAAACAACAAAAGAAAAAACAAAAGCTGATGATGCACACGAGACACCATCATACACACGCTGAACAAGAGCTGAGAGCTGAACGCAGTTTGAGGAAATAGTACAAAACAAATGGGAGAAACTGAATGTCCAGGAAGCGAACATTCATTCAACAGGAAATACACATCTGTACATACATACCTGTGTTTGTGTTTTTGTTTTACAATGTTCGGGGGTCCAAAACCAGGCTTTACAATACTTGTTGGGACTGACCACCGTTGTGTGGACCAAAATGCTGAACTCTGCAAGTTTAAAGGGCTGTTTGACGGTTAATACTTGATTTTACGGTTTAGGTTAGAATTAGGTTACAGTTAGGGTAAGGGGTCAGGGAATGCATTATGTCAGTGAGTGTTCCCCACGAAGATAGTAAGACAAAGTGTTTATGTAATGTCTGTATATGAATGAGGTTGTGTTTAAATCTACTGAATACTGCTTAGAACAAAGCAAATGGGGGAACGTCCGGACTGTAAGGTGGTGTTTCCCTGCAGGTCTTCATATCAGTGGGAGCATCTACTGCCTCCTCTGCTCCAACACACACCGACTGCTGGCTTCATGTGTCCTGCCTCCTGCCGCACAACGCTGCTGAACCATCAGGGTCTTTACTGGAGGGACAGAGGAGGACATCATTGTAAACACCAGCTTCACACACTGCCTGGACACAAATGCTCATCATGAACAACTCGAGGTTTGATGTGCAATTAAAGGGAAATTCCCATTTAATACCACTTGGGTGTAATTTTGGTTATGATTACTATCAGAAATAATAACAGTATAATCACTAAAATTAATTAAGTTCTGGAAACGCAGCATAATGTTCTCTGAGCATAATCCAAAGTTTTGCAGAAACGTCCATACTGATGTTCTGTTTACAACTCTTTGTATGTAGCACCCTTTCCTTGTACTGAACACAAAAGCAAATTTTCCTTTTCATTTCATGTTGCTTCTATAAAAACAGGAATTTATTTAATGTAATAGTTGTGTTAAATGTAATACCTGTAACACACTGTACTGCATATATTCTTGATGCACAACAAGCAAATAATGGCTACTTTCAGGCCTCTGTGAAAGGTAATTTAAAACCATCAACATTCTCTTATTAATTCTGCTAACTACCAATAGAGGCCATTTTAGCCAACAGCCGAGAAAACAGCATCAAAGCAGTGGAGATAATCCTTAAACACATGGAAGTATCCCCTTAAGTCACAAACACATCTGTATTTGAACTACTGTCTGTTTGCAGCACGTCCAGAAATTCTCATACCATCAGAATTTGTTTTCTGAATGCTAGCAGGGTGCGGGTTTATTAATACCCATTAAATAATTGATGCAAAAGCCAAGGCTATTACCCCAACTACATTACATATCCAAATTTAAAACAGCTTCTTTGGAGATGTTGACCATGTAAATGAGCCAGCTCTGCATTTCCTGACATGAGCTTTTCTCTAGCACCTCCCTCAGGACAAACTTTACATTTTAGATCCACAACTTGCTAACTTAAGCAGAACAAATTAGTCTGTTGTAGTGTGTTGTGAACACTGCAGCCTCTAGGGCACGCTAGCAGGTCTTTAAGTTTTGAGGCTTTTTTATATTGTGAAATAATGACATCATATTCACCCACCACAATAGTTACCTGGTCATTACGGACCTTTTTGTCTCCGTTGACAGCTTTTAGGAGGACGGTGTCCTCATTCTTTGTGTTGGTCTTCATCTCCACGACAATGTCATCTTTGGTGGTCTTTTCTTTGGTGCTGTTGACAGAAACAAGGGTTGCTACGTGTGGAATTTGACAAAGGCCTGGGTAACTGCAGTGGGACTGGGCATCATTACAACACAAGCTCAAGTTCAACATTCACATCGGTTGGGTCACTATACCCAGGTTTAAGGTTGTCTTAAGTCAGTTTGTTTTATACATCGTTTCATGCATCGACATCCTGGGTGTACCAAAAATACAGTGAAATACATCTGCAATACAGTAGGATCAATTTATTGTTGGTCTTTCTTGAGATTTGTTCACTATATGAAAAATACAGAATAATCACCAGACATATCAGTACAGTACTCACATCTCCTGTTTCCCTGAGCGTCCACAAGGGATCTTTCCCTTCTTATGCAGGAAGTAGAGAACACTGCCGAGGATGGCCAGCAGCAGCAGACACAGTATGATCACCACTATGATCACCCCACTGCCCTCAGCTACACAAACACACACAGACAGAGACAGAGAGACCAGTCACGTTAGTGTCAGTACATCTAGTAATACCAATTACTTTGACAGCAGTGGCATGCAACCGTATTGGTAGCCACAAACGACAGTGACGGTGTAAAAGCGTAAAAGCTTAGTTCACTGGTCTTGTGGAGAATGACTCAGTCTGATGTCTTCTGTGATCTATGGAGGAGCTTTGTCGGGTTTGTTGGTTGGAACAATACGAGTTTAAACTTTAAACTACTTGCAAAAAACTGTGGTCAGCAACATTAAAACCTGCCAGTTTAGTCCACTGCGACTGGACGAGACTGTATTTTTTCTCCGTCAGCTACATGTGGTGCAGCTTTGTGCTGCTTTCACGGGAACGGGAAGTCAAAGTATCATCTCTAAGATTTTACCCACATGGCGTTTACTGTGTAAACTCTGGAAAACTGACGCTCTCTTGGTGGAAAAGAGTGTATTTCTCTGAGGAATACACCGCGAACGTCTTGTTATTGCAGTGGTTACACACTTACAAGAGGAATATCCGCTGTCGGACTCACCCTGAAAGCTTTGCTTCGTCACCAGCGAGTGACGTGACCCACCTCGCGCTGTGAGTCGCAGACAGTTTGTGCCAAAGCGGATATATACTGTAGTTTCAGTAGGCTATAAAAATGTAACATTAAAAACTGAAGCCCTATCTTGCTCTGTTGGGGATTGTAAGTGGCACTTTATCAGAGGTGCTGAAGTTAGTGTGTGTGGAATTATTCGTGAGCTTTCTGTCTGATCACAGGTGTTGTTGGTTAGTTTCGTTTCCCCCCAGTATGAGCACCTCCTCGTCTCATTCAGTTTTGTCTATTAGACAGTCGAGGGGATACTTCCAGCGAATCAGTAACATAATGCAGTAGAGGACATGTAGTAAAATATTATTATTATATTAATAGTAACAATTAAACAAATATTAGGGCAAATAGCAAACATCTTTTTTGATGGGGGCGGTAAGGGACCTGGATAATGGATAGGGGGGCGCTGGCCCAAAAAAGGTTGAGAACCACTGGTTTAGAGGATACAAATTTATAACAGAAACCCTGCAATACAATTTGCGGGTGAGAAGTTTGAAAGACGTGGGATGTTTACCAGGCAGGAACAGTCTAACAAAAACATGCTGATGTTTGGTTTTTTTAAAGTGTAGGATCCAATGTTTTTGGAGCTTGGGGCTAAACGTCAGAATAGCTCTGCCTGTACTGCGTTGATTTCAGCCATTCTTCTTTTTTAATCTGTCTCTTGCAAGTCCCCAAACTTTATGGAAGTGCAATACTAAACGACTGGAGTACCTTTTTAAAAATAGGGATAAGGAAACATCTATTCTATACCTGCAAACATTATTTAAATGATTTTTTTCCTTAAGTGGCTTATTCAACAAAGTCCATTTCCTCATGCATAAGAAATAATTAGTCAAGCGTGAAATGATGTTGATTATATTTCAGTGTCATTAAAGTGCCAGGACTGCAGAAAAATGTAATTTATTCTGTGACCCATTGGCTTAATAACGGACTTTATTTCGATTACATTATCGATGCAGAATGAAAAGAAGGTTTCCTTTTTTTCATAAACAAAAGAGGCTGCACTGGTTCAGCTTGTGTTAAGAGGTGAGCAGCACACTGGTGGGAAACAGTATGAACAAGTAACATTTCAAAAGAAAACTACTACCATATGCTAACTCAATTTAACATTTTAAGCGCTGTATAGTACTTTTATCACGACTGAGTATGCATCTGGTATGGTTTAGTGACTTTGCAGTGTCTTTAACATATTTTTAATTCATCTGTTTAATTCTAATTTCTAACATCGCTACAATATTTTAATACTTTCCTGTAGTAACTCATATTTTATTGTAGTGCATATCTCACAAACATCCAACTTCTTCTTATTAATAAATGCATCTTATTAGATACTCACCAAGACATATTTGTGCAGTGGTGTATGCTCCTAGATTTATTTATTTTAAACATTTTTTTTCCAGTTTACTGCTGTCAAACTAGCAGCATGTTTCTAAGCAAAGATGAGTGTCAGTGATGGTGATGATAGATTTGCAGAAAACCAGTTTACTATTACTAACACAATAATAACAATCAAATACAATGTTTTATTTAATTCAACAGTCAAAGCATCTCAGACCTAAGATTGTTATTGTCCTCTTTGATCTCAATTTTATTGTATTATGTATTATATGATTATATATTGGCTCAATTAAAGGTTCCACCCCCTCCATGGTGTGATGCTGCAGCTATAGTGGAGCCCTCTGAACCTCCACCTTACCCACTGTTCAACACCTGAAGTTAACTTTGCCAGTGAACTATCCTAACTATGTGTGTTTGTTTGAAAACAAAAAACTAAATCAGAGAGAAAGCAAAAACCACACAACAGAATGAAATAGCTATTTCTTTTATACAAAACCATCAAGTCTCTCAGCTAAAAGTACAAAATTGGTGTAGTTAATTAGTTACTGGCTTTGGAAAGCCTGTGGATGTTCTTTAGCATCTTCTTTAGCGTGACCGAGGCTCTTTGGCCTTTGGTACAGCTGAGACTTCATTTTACAGGGATTTTGATCAGTTCACGTTAAAAGGAGGTGGAAGAGAAGAATATCTTTTTTTATATGGTTTTTGTCTTTACTGCTTTATTGTGATAGTGACAGCTGGAGAAACTGAAACAACTACATGGAATTCACCCATTATTTACAACTCTGCAAATACTGCTATGACATGTCAAAATGTCACAAATAAGGACTATAGTGTGACATTAACAACTGCAGCATACCAACCCACAGTTTTTGTCTGAAATATTCTCGTTTCTTCTGAGGATTTTTCTATTAATTTCTGTTAAATTATACAAATATGATATCTGGACACAACCCTGAAAGATCACAATCCAAGATTGTTCCAGACTTGACATAGGTACTTTATGGTGTGAAAATTTTAAATTTAAAAAGAGCAAAAACGTTTAATACTTTGGTGATCTCTCTCTCTCTCCTTGGATCGTAAATGAATGTTCTCTTCAACCTGGACTAAATGTACGACTAGAGATGACACAAAACCTTTTTGAGATTAACCATCTTTTAACTTATTATCAATTTAATTAATTAATTATATTTGTTTGTCATATTTACCATACCCGTTTGGGCCAAAATTATTCTTAGCGTCTTTCATGTGTGAAACACTATAAGTGATGCTATTTTCCAGATTGCATTTCCTGCATTGAATTATCCAGATCAGCCTTTTGAATATGTTGAATCCACAAAAACGGAGAAACAGACAAAGATGGCGTCATTTATTTACTCTGAGTCAGAAAACAGTGAGTGTAATTCTAATTAAGTATATCTTCCACTCCTTGTTAAGTGTGTGTAGGAAGCTTCTACTCTGAGGGACTGTACTAGTTTTTAAATAGGACCCCCTACTAACTTCAGTAAACAATTAGGGGAGCAACACAGCACTCTAGACATTTTTTTGTTTGTTAATGTTGTTCTTAATGGTTGTGCATGAGTGGGGACTCTCTGAAATGCTCTTTATTTGCAAGTTGTATTCCCCACAGGCTAGTGAAGATTTTAATGGTATGAAGTGACTACTCAGATAAAGTCAGAAAATTATCCCATAATATTGCCCCTCTCCATACTTCACTGCAATTTTACCTGGTGTGTAAAAATGCTCTATAAAACACAAGCCTGTCTGGAAAAGTCAGTAAAAGTGAGACACTGTTTTGTTACTTATTTTTGTTTGTTTAAAATATTCTGCGACATATAAATAATGTTTTAACCACTAACGAGTGTTTGGTCCGAGTATCATTATAACTGTTGACGTGCTTGAATTTACTGGTGTTATGATTTTTCCCTCTGTATCAAACAGAATATTCAGTATGCCCACAGGCCATCCCAAAGATCTGCTAGCAAACCAAAGACAATCCTGGTATAGAGTAAAATCATAAATAATGCATATAGTTCTCCAACTCTTCGTTGTCACAGACAGAAGTTAGTCTTAAGCGTGAACATTGAGACAGAGCAGAGCGAAAGGGAAAGAGGCGTCTTTAACAAGAAGAGACTGTAGACAACAATCTTACCCGGAGAGAAGCGAGCAGTTGAGGTGACTCCGGGAACTGTGAACAAGTAGAACAACACTTAAATTCAATACACACACACACTTTTCATATTTAGTTTGTTCTCAGCTGCTTTAGTAATTACAAACAATCCCATTTTCTTCTGGTGTGAGGGGAAAGGAGCTGACTATAGGGTTTTATAAAAATCTTTTTTTCAGACAGAATACGTAACAATACTGGCTTCATCTATCTGCTAAAGCAGCAGCTCCCAACCTGGGGGTCTGGACCCCACAGGAGTCACAAGGGGATAAAATGGCTATTTGTCATGTAAATATCTTTTCATCATATTTTGCTTCATTCAAATATGATGGGAGGAGTTACATAAAGAGCCATAGTGGAGGCAGTGATGTCACTGCTGAAGAACAGCGGTGAGATGAAAAGTGATGATCTGTTTTATCACAAGCTACATCAGGGATGGATGTTGTAGCTAAAGCCTTAATTAATGACCATAATGACTGTAAGAGACATGCTCTAATACATTTTACACATATATATAGTTATTATTTATAGAGAATTGTGCAGCCTATTTGATGAAGTTCAACGTTATGTTGGGACTCTCATTTAATTCCTATTGTCTCACACACTGTAAGTAAAGAAAAGCAAGTAATGTCCATACATTTTCTGTTTATGGACATTACTGTGGTTCTTTGGGTACTGTTGCTCTTTTGCCCCACATCACAATGGGGAAAAGCTTTTTTCTAAGTTTAAGTTGTTGCTATTATTAATATTTTATCACCTCATGTTGGAAGTTTTGAAAGTTATGTGCTGAAGTGTTGTGAAGGCTTGGAATATAACTATAACGGAGCACTTTTACAAACTAGCACTGTTGGTACATATTTTAGAAGATTACAAAATAATGGTTAATGACGTCTGTGATGATTCTCAGTCATCCAGGTCATAGTTATCCAACAAAGGTTGAGGTCAAGGGCAACTGGACTTGGTTGAAGATACTAGAAGACTTTTCGTCCTTCATCCAAGAGACTTCTTCTTCAGTTCTGACTGACTGGTAGGGAAACTCAACTATTTAACCTCTGGAATCGTTAGCTAGGATCGTTAGTGCTCCTGGCTGTGGTAACGACAGTCGTCATGGTCGTTAGAGCCACCTGTGGCCAGTCTGAACGAACATCGTTGGCATCTTCATCTGAGGCCAAGAGGAAATGCTTATTCAGTTTCCTGGGAACTGAAGAAGTCTCTTGGATGAGTGATGAAATGTCTTCTAGTATCTTCAACCAAGTCCAGTTGCCTTTGACCTCAACCTTCGTTGGATAATGGTTAATGACAATTTCAAACCCTGAATGTGGTTCCTTCTCCATCCCCTGAATATACAGTATGATGTGAGAGAGGTAAGGCTCTTACTAGCTTTGATGCTGAAAGCCTTTCCTTCAGTGCCCATGTCACTGGAAGCGTTGCACACAGCGCTGATATCTGAGGTGACTTTGACTGACACCACGCTGTGAGTCATGTGTCCACTTGCCTTGTTCACCACCTCATTCCAGTTCTGTGGAGAGACACACACAAACACCTTATTAAAGAGAACACCATGCACATTTCTATTTTTACGTCAGTAAACTCAAAACACTGCTGGTCCTCACAACTAACAAAACTATAAAGACTATTAGCTCAGTTGTAGTAGGTGTAAGTAGAAAAGCCGCCATTACTGTGGTGGGACCTTCTTGTAAACCTGTAAAATTACACTATACCACTGTAATGTAAGTAAAGGAGTACTTTTTTGATGCTTCTGCCACATTGCCTACTTCATCATGCAAGTTTATTTTGGTTGATTTGGTTATTTTTGCAGACTTTCTATGCATTCATATATGTCTTGGTTTAGCACCACACACTGTATCCTTGTGTTTTTCACCACAAATTGTCTGACTTAACATTTTGTCAATTCAACTTAGTGCTAGGAAACCCAAAATACAAGACAAATGACATGGGCACCTATAAAAATGTACACATCTTTCGTGATAATCACTCAAAATATTATCATAGAGGACTTAATTGTTATTTCACTTTTTATACAGCAGACAAATGTAAGAAATAAAACCATATTAATAACTATAATCAACCCACACACCCATGCTTTCTCTATCAGCGTAAAGCGTTTTGTTTGACTCCACCACAATTATGAATTTCATTTTTACATGTCAACAACATAAACTAGGGTCTCATGTACATGAATATTGCATGATGAATTGCATCTAATAGCCACCTATTGCGTAGTAAGTTAGTGCTATGAGTCAGATTGGATACCTGGCTGCCAATGATGTTCCAGGTGATGCTGGGCAGTGGATGGCCCTGAGCCTCACAGCTTAGGTTCACCATCCCGCCTGCTGCCACCTCCAGCTGCACCTCCTGCTCCACTCCCACCACCTGGGGACCACCTAGACACACACACACACTCTCTATATTTACTGGGCACATAATAATGGATAATGTATATTTCCACAGCGCTAATATATCAGTACATTGCAACAACAAGTGTCATGTCATTAACAAAAATTAAAAAGAATTTAGGAAAGGTCTATCATTTGGAAACTTCATTTGGCATCACAAGTAAAGTAAAATTGTTGAAGTGGTGCAGGAGCTGACTGACCTTGGACGATGATGTTAACGGAGCCGCTGGTGTGCAGGGCGGGCAGCAAGGGAACAGTCACCTCACATACATACTCTCCTGATGTTTCATAGGTGGCATCCTTTAGATGCAATGTATGCCCCTTACCCACCTGCTGTCCATCCTACACACACACACACACACACACACACACACACACACACAGATCAGCAAAAGTAAAAGAAATTCCCTTCAGCCTCAGCTGTGCTTTCCATTTAGCTGACACACTAACCTCACCTGGTGAAGATTACAACTGCTAAACATCAGCATGTTAGTATTGTCATTGAGAACTTGCTGCTGACGTTAACTTTTAGCTCAAAGAACCACTGTGTCTACACACGGCCTCAAAGAGCTGCTAGCAAGGCTGTAGACTCTAAGTCTTGTTTTGAATTACGTTTGCAAGTTCTGCAGCTGATGATGACTTACTTAAACTTCACTCATACGTTTTTACATGTCAATGTGTTAGTACGGATGTGCATCTTCACTGGTCTCACGATTCGATTACGATTATCAGGTCAACAATTTAATTCAATTCGATATCTCGATGCATCACCTCAAGGGCGGGAATTTCTAGGCACCTCACTATGATTATGAAGCCACGATACGATTGTAAAACAAATAGGATAAAGATGTATTTTTCTCACTGTTTGACTACTTGGTACTTTTAAAGCAAAGTATTTGTAACAAACCAAACAAGTAGGTAGTAATGAAATGCAGGTATTTATTGTTACTACATATAAATGTAGCTAACATTGCATAGGATTATTACAGAGTTATTACTGACCTATTTTTTTATTTCTCACTTTCTCACTACTTCTCTCTGTTTTTAGTATAAAGTCAGATGGGGGTTGAACTACGCACTTAACAACGCTCCAGCCAAACCACGTTCACTCCACCTTAATACATCTGTTCCTTTTTCGTCTCGTCTAATGTAGTTACATGTTTGTTTCTTGTAATGTGATTATTGTGATCTTGTATTGACCACCATGGGCCTTGAGAAACGGCATTTCATTTATTTGTGTACTCGACAAGTGGGTGAATGACAACAAACAAACTTGAACTAGCAGCAAAAAAAGTCCTGCTCAGCTTCCAGACCGCACTCTGAAGAGGAGATGTTATTGAGCGCAACGGTCTTCACTCTTCCAGTAGTTGGAAAACGACAGACGGACTTTAATAAAACGACAGATTGTGAACTACACTGTACATTTACTGCCAAACTGAAACGTAGTGCTCATATTTTCCTCTGCTCCGCTCGCTTTCACCGTCACCTACTGCCGCCTGTCATGTAGTTGTCCTTTGAAGAATGATGAGAGGACGCTAAGCGCTACTGTGCTGCACAGTATGCAGATGAAAATTCTTAACATTAGTTGCGCATTGATTTTATTGATGATGTGTCTAGTAGCAGCAGTCATTTAATCAACAACCGCCTGTCTGTGCCGAACAGGGAGAACCACACGTTTCCGTTGTGTGCACACCACAGACAGTCAGGAGCTGCACTTTCGCATTTCCGAGTTCCGCCTTTTTTATTCGGTCAACATTACGTTATCAATTAACCACCAGATAATCGATTATTAACATTTGTGAATTGATTCATAATCGTCAAAGTCCGCATCGCGATGCATCTAAGAATCAATTATTTTCCACATCCCTATGTGTTAGCATTATTAACTGTAATATATTCATACTATGTTTTAGGTTGTATTCAGAAGAGTGTTTGAAGGCGCGTACTGTTTCTGAATTAAAGACGTTGTAGATAGTATTTTGTACTGTCCTCTATATTGGACAAAGACCAATTAAAAGTCAGAGCATTATACTGAAATGTGTTGATTGAAAAAGTACTATGTACCTTGTACCAGAAAGTGGATGTAAGCAAGGATGACAGAGCATTACAGGTTGCAGTCAGATCTTCTCCTTTAAACATGACTTCTGATTCTTTAGGTACCACCACAGCTGCGTCCAAGTCTAAACACAACAAACACAGACAAAACAAGACACAGGAAACACAGTGTCACAGGGTTGGGTAGATATATGGATTTTGTGTGTGTGTGTGTGTGTGTGTGTGTGTGTTCCTCACAGTGCACGGTGAGCTCCTTCTTTTGGACCTTGGTGTAGCTGTCGGTGTCCAAGGGGCGACACTGGTAGATGTCGCTGTCTTTCCGTAACACTGATTGCAGGATCAACACATTACTGTTGTTCTCCAAGTCCACATCTAGTTTCTGCAACAGATACATTTGTAATCTGAATCCAAGATGTGAACATGTGAAACTAATGACAGAAACTATTGTATGTTCTGTCTCAGATGTGCTTTTAGGGTGAATTTTCTAAGATATACTTTATTTCCAAGAGAAATCAAAATTAGCATCTGATTTGTCAGGTTAGTCTTACGGGACAGCTGCAGACTTATGTTCCTTTTTTTGGCTGAAAGTGAGTTTGTTGGTACATGAATCAAACCATCACAATCATGTATCATCTTTGGAGTCCTCTTACAGTGTGTTCACACTGAAAGAAAATCCAGCGTTTCGCACGGCTTGATTATATACAAAGTCAATGCAATGTTTGTTGCAGCATTCGCTGGAGTTCAAATTTTTTAGCTTGAGTAAGAAATTTGCATGACGCTACGTTGCGAAAGCCTATCAGCGATGAGATAATCCAGACATTACCGACGGCTTCAGAGCGTTGTTTGGAAGGGACCAGGCAGAGCAGGGGAGTTACATGCCGCTGGCCGATGGAGAACTGCTAAACTACGGGGAAGTGTAGAAGAAGGAGCCAGGAGCGGCGCTGCAGCTTTTGGACATAAACACCCATAGTCAGTCACTGTGTCTACGCACGGCCTCAAAGAGCTGCTAGCATGGCTGTAGACTCTAAGTCTTGTTTTGAATTACGTTTGCAAGTTCTGCAGCTGATGATGACTTACTTCAACTTCACTCATACATTTTTACATGTCAATGTGTTCGTACGGATGTGCATCTTCACTGGTCTCACGATTCGATTACGATTATCAGGTCAACAATTTGATTCAATTCGATATCTCAGTAAACTGCTTTTATTAAACTAGCTTTTTACTTTAGTTTTTGGGATCACAACGTTGATTTAACTTCACTCGCGCTTCTCGGATATTTACAGTTCCACTGTTGTTGCTAGTGTTGGTCGGCACGCAGAGCTCTGTTGGAGTACAACTTCATATTTATATAAAAACCGGACAAAACTGGACATTACTTGGAGAAAAGAAAGTGAGGAGGTTGAACTACCTGGTAAGTTCAGAAAACATGTGTAACTTTATTCCAGCTATCATTGTACTTTACTGAGTCCAAGTTAGCTTAGAATAGCCCTGATCGATCCAAACTCCATTCAGAAAACAAACATTTTAGAAGTTGTTGTCCTGCTGTCTTGCTGACAGACCTGACAAAGCATGAATTCATATGTTTAACAAATCTGCATCACGTTGTAGTTATTTCGGCATCAGTTTAATCCGTTTATTGATATTTAATCACAGCAAAATGTTTACTTTGGGTTCATACAGCTGTAGTAATGGCAAGTTGTGTTTATTCACGTTATTGCGTTAAAATCGCCTTCTCGCCTTGTGTGTGAACACATCCACCGAATGTACTCAAGTGAGGAAAGCACCGCAAGGAGAAAATTATAAGTATAATTTGCTTTTATTGTTTTGCACAGCAAGAAATATGCTTTTATCTCTGAGGTCATGGTTACAACAACTACTAACCAAATGCCCCTGACTACCTAGTTAGGAAAAGTTAAAATGGCAGTCAGCTGAGTTTTTGTGTTGTCCACACATACAATGGATGTGTGTCTGACATGGGAATAAGTCCTACCCATGTGGCCTCCGGTCTCAGACCCCAGCCTGGATCTGCAGGGTCAGAGCTGACAGAGCCTTCACAGACCTTGCACACTCATATCTACATGGGGCCCTATGAGCTCTGCATATCAAAAACATTCCCTACATGTCTCCTCTGTGTCACCCATTCTCTCTTGGGGACTTGGAGTGAGAAAATGCCTCCCATTCTTACTTGTTTTCTGTTGAAAATGAAGGCCGGCGGGGGGTTGCCATTACCCTGGCAACGCAGCTCCACAGTATCCCCCTCTTTGACAAAGCCCTGGGGCGACTCTATCCACATCTTCACCTCGGTGGTGGGGTCTGGACACAGACAGACACAAATACACAGAATCAAATTAAGCAGCCTTATTCAGCTAAAGTCACTTTACAAGGACATTTCCATAATGCTGACAGCACAGACTGTGTTTGGCTCTGCCTGCCACAGTATCACTACAAAATGGTTTCAAACAATGGGCGAACAGACAAATAACTTGTCTGTTAAATTTGAAATAATGTAGCATAATTGACAATAACACACTTTAATGAGTATTCTAGCAATTTAATATTGAGACATATTAAAGAAGAATCAAATCTATATCAAAGCAGCTGAGTCTGAAGTCTCCCGACATTCAGTCCCCGGTAATGGTCAAGCTGTGTAAATGCTGGATCCTACAATTTGACTTTGTCAGGATTGTTTTTTTAGCTTTGAAAGGTTCCCTCCAAACTAAAGAAGACTTTATACATCTTTGTTTACAGGCTAAGTAGTAGTCCTTATGACAACTATACAGAACTTAATGTGTAAAATTGGTGAAATGTCCCTTTAAATGAATACTTGTTGTTTGCCTGACAGGTTAAGGAGAAAGGGAGTGACATTGTTAAAGCTGCAATACTGGAGTATGAAATGTAATGAATGTAATGAATCTCGTCACACCCCTACTACCTAGCGCTGTGTTTTCTTAAGTTATAAATAGATGCAAACAAGTTAATACCAGCACTTCTATGGAGACGCTGGTTATGTCGGTTGGTGCAAAATGCAACAAAACAAGAAGATAGGATTCATTACAAAGCAACAGTCTCTACGTTAATGTAATACTGATACCATATAGAGAATTAAATTATTTCAAATTAGAGAAGCTGCAGGTTACTGATGGTGAATAAAATAAAAAATTTTAATACTGCCCTGATACCCGATAACTACTATAATAATTATAATTACTATACTGATTTTTCATGTTTAATTTTCATATGCAAGAATAATTGAAATTTGCTAAACAGACTTCAGACATCACTACACTTTAGAAGCAAAAGTCTGTAAATCAGTTTACTTCAGGATGAAGGAAAAATGCTTTCTTATTTTTGAAATGATGACAGCCTCGGTGGTCCCCTTCAGACTTAACTGCCAATAAGCAGGTCACTCAAGTAAGCGTGGTTTGAAAATCTGTTTGTCTTGAACCAAGGAGTCCATGAAAAAAAACATTTTTGCTTCTATGGCTTTAAACTTAAACTAAACGGAAAGCAAAAACTGACAAGCACAATAAAGAATAGAAAGAATAAGAAAGTAAAATAATTGTAACCAAAAATAATAACTAAAAATGTGATTGGTAGCTGTAACTTTGTGTAGTCCACTTGGCCTCACAGCAGAAGAAACACTGAAGTGAATAAGTTGAGGTAGCATGTTCCAAAGATGGAAGAGCTTTGCAGAAACGATTTTTACCTCCATCCTGGAACAATTACTGTCAACAATTGATGTGTTACAAACATCAACTAAGGATAATAGAAGAATAAAAAGGCTCAGCATTAACTCACAGTGAACAGTGATATTGATGCTGTTGGACTCGACTGTCCTGATAGCTCCTGGGACGAAGAAGCTGACCTCACAGGAGAAGTGGGCATCCTTGTCCTCCTTAACCACCTTGTACTCCAGCGTGCTCTGGACGGAGAAGAAGCTACTGGTATCCCTGGTATCCCGGGTCACCAAGGTCAACACGTTTACATCTGGAGTATGGGGGGGGGGGATTAATTTGCTGTGCACTTATGTATGTTAATTCATGCACATGCAGTCTGTGGTGCTGTGATACTTTGTGGAACAGGGAATTTGGTTGACTCAAGCCAATAGAGTGGCTTAAAATATCACAGTTTTCTATGGACAGAAAACATCTATTTCTGAAATACATTTGGATTTTAATGTTCGTTAATCTCTGTGCAGAGAAAAGATTTCCCTGTTCCAGTACTCTGTCAATGTGCAGAGATTTGAAATGAAATGTGTCCTGGCCTGGATTTAAACCAAAGGAACCACTCGAGTGTTACATGGTCGACCCTGTGAGACAGACACAATGGCCCAACTACTGTGTGCACTTACGTCCCAGTGCAGACACCAGTGGCTTGCTGTTCCTGTACCAGGTGATGTTGGGTTTAGGGAAGCCGTTCCGAGTCTCACAAGATGCAACCTGGATGGGGAGTCACATTGACAAGTCTTTATTATCTTAAAGTTAGCTATTGAAGCAGTAAATGGGAAACTCAGACAATGTAGACAAACAGAGTTCCGCAACTATCTGATCTGTACTTTACATGGTAATCATACACTCCTGACCCCACACTTTACGCTCAACTGTGCTTTATGCTCATGTTGTGAACTTTTGCACATACTTGTCAGCATTGTATTTTTGTATACTTGTACATTTTTTGATGATCTTACTTTTTATATATTTATATATTTCTATTTATGTTCATGTGTACTGTAAGGCAAATTCCTCGTATGTGAAAATGTACCTGGCAATAAACACGATTCTGATTCTGATTCTGATTCTAATCCTGAAGACCACTGTATTGGTTGATCTCAGTGTCTAAGATTAAGTGGACACACCTTGACTGGCACCTCACTGGTCACAGATAGTCCAGTAGGGACACCCTCAATCACTGGAGCTTCTGGAGGAGCTAAATCAGGAAAAGAATCACTTCAGTCATTTAAAATAAATAACTACATCATGAAACAAAGAAAATTCTTAAGACTTTGAATCTTTCCTCCTTTAAAAAGTGGTTTGTCTGCCACTGAGAAAGTGTTTTGTGGGCTTCCTTACCAAACACTCTGAGGTAGGTCTTGCCTTCAGCGTTCCCGGCATCCAGTCCGTTGACCTGGCAGAAGAATTCCCTCTCATCAGAGAGTTGTACGGTTTGGATGGTGAGTCGAGTTCCCTGCTGGTCTGAAGTCACCACAATGCGACCGCTGTAGTCTGTGCTGTTGTCCACCATCTGCTGACTGACATCGCTGTAGAAGATCCGCGTCCGTGAGCTGTTACCCTCAAATCTCTGCAGGAGGACACACAGTCAGGAAACCCTCACAGTATGATGGATAAAATGCGTGTCCAGCTGGTAGTTATCAAACTAACGTCAGCCTCGTTTCTGATGGGCAGAGAAGTGATGATTTTATCCTCACATCCCCACATGACTGTGACTGATTTGTCTCTATATTTCCCAACTTGTAAAATCTCAGAAGGTTTTATTCCCCAAGATATTCTCTCATGCTGCTTGGATTAACTTCTGCAAAGCAAACGGACACTGTGATCCATCCGTGAATCAATCACTGTCACCTGCTGGTCTGACTCAAATCTTTACACGTTTCATCTCATTATCAGCGTAGATGTCATGGTGTTACCAGTTATTAATTTTTGCACATTTGTTCTGTCCATTTTGCTTGTCAGTCACTAACTCACCTGTCATTCCAGATCCTGTCATCCCCAGTTATACCAGCAGTTGCCCTTACTGGGTTGCTGTCAGTTCCACCTACCTGATTCCCACATCCACCTATGCACCTCCTCATTTCCAACTACGTGTCTCTATTCAGCCATCCTAGCCATAGTAAGCCTGTTGCCTCTTTTACATCTGCACAGTCTTTGACCCTTTCCTGGCCTTTTGGATTTTTGCATACTAGTTTATGCCCATTTAGACTAGTCTGCCAGATTTCAGTACACTTTCGGGACACTTCAGTACACTTTGTTTTTACTCTACTACTGAGTTGTGCTTCTGGATCCAAATCTTATTTTTCTGAGCCAATATGGTAGTTACTAGATGATGGTTGAAACAAACGCCTCACTCATTAAATATGTGGCACTTGCTGTGTGATGTAGCACCACTGCTTAATATTATATTATATACAAATGTAATCATTTCTTCTGATGCCAGTGGAGGAACTCTTTATTTCAGACAAGGAAGCGCTCCTCTACCATACAATGCTGGGAACTCTGATGCTATGAATACACACACACACACACACACACACAATAAGTCTGTTAGTGTTAGCCTGTATAAGAGTTTGTACGTTCTTGTGGCCAGCTACTGTCATCTACTATTTTGACTGAGTTCTTATTTATTTGTATATTTATTTTGTTTGATGACAATCCATACATGTGCAGCTGGATAGTTTCAGACCGTGTCAGTTTTCACAGTGGGTCCCACAGTACTCACCACAAACCACTGGATCATGACAAAGCTGGGCTTGTTGTTGGCGTCAGTGAATCTGTACTGGCAGGGGATCTGAGCTGAGTCACCCAGGTACACCTCAACAGTCTCATGCATGGTCACCTCCACCTTGGCCCATGCTGAAAAACACAGAGATATGCGCATAAATCAACTTCATGCTTTCTGTCCCATGGTCCAATAACATTCATGAACCACTCACAACCATCACACAGAATTCAAGTCGACACAAAAATGGCATTTTACTGTGACTTTGTTCTTTCTTACCTACATCTAATTCTAATTTTGACCCTCAACCTTAATTAAATTCTAAACTGCATTGTGTTTGGCAGATGACTGACTGTCTTCAAAGCACAACCTGGAGCCAGTCTGCCATGTTAGCAGAACAAAGAAGAAAAGGCTTCTTGTCCACATGGCATAATTTTCTTCTCCCTTCTGCCTGGCTGACTGTAACCACAAAACCACATCTTGGCCAGAAAATCAGTTCCCTAGGCATCATTGGGGGAATGCATGCATGGGAAGGCAAGCCAGTTTGACATTGGGCTGTTGATTCAGACAGCCAAGTGCTTTTTCAGCCATGTTGGACTTGGCTGTGGTTATAGAGGGGCCAGCTCACACAGTGACAAAGAAAAACAAGATGGCACAAAAAGTCTATTTTCTCTGTTTAATCTGGTTTGGAGTTGTTATGCAAGATGGTAAAGGATACGTCCCCTCGTTTCCTCTCCCCCTTACACTGTCAGGTGTCACGGTGTAATGTTCAGTGGATTTACTGTCATATGTTGTCAATGACCATTTTAGTACAGCCTCTTTTCTCGCCTGCTTCTCCTGCTTTTGATTATCTACATTGTCGACAGGACTTTTGTTTAGAGGTACAGAACAGCACAAAACCAAAACTACTTCCTCCTCTGTCATTTACTTCTCCCAGTATGATCGTTGAGTATCTCTGCAAACCAGTTCTTCTTGAATAAGATCAGTGTACTTTGATTTAGTACTATCAACGTCTGTGTTTGAAGAGACAGATCATGTACATTTTTACATGCTAGCAGTGGAGTTCAACAAATGGTGGGGTCAGTCACTCAATAAGATATATTTTGTACTAAAAAGGTGATTTCTAATAATTTTGGTAACTGCAGTCCAGTCTTCAGATAAATGTAGTGGAGTAAAAGTACATTCCCCCCTGAAATGTACAGTAGTAGACAGCAGAATGTCCAACAGTGTTATAGAAGTGCAGATGTATAGAAGTGCTTACAGTAGTCAACTGTATTATGTTTACTGATATTATTGTAGGCTACTACTGAGCAGCTGGGAAAACATAATAGGAAAACATACATTTACTCTAACCAGATCCTGAGCGGCATCAAAAAAAAACAAATTTTACTGTTTTTCAAAAAATAAAGGAAAAACAATTAGCAAGGGCTAGCCCTCAGTGTCCTCATGTGTTTTCAGCGTTGGTTGAAACAGACCAAGCATGAAAAGAGCTTTAAGAATCTAGTTGCCACCCTGCTGCCCCCATTCAGCCGGCTGCTCCCCCATCACCACCCGGCACCCCCCCCCCCCCCCCCCCCCCCCCCCCCCAACACCAATCAAACTCTTTTTTTTTTTTTTTTTTTCTTTCTGTCCCTCCCTCCTTTGCCTGGGCCTATGCGCAGCCAACCATTCCTTTAAGACAACGGGCACGCCATTGTTCCCCCACCTGGGTGGACCACATCCCCCCTTCACACACATTCATTCACCACACCCACCAGTCAGCCAAAAGATGCTAAACCAAAGGTTAAAAACAGTTCATCGTGTCCTGAAGTTGTTGTTCACTGCAACAAAGATGATATAAGAAGGCTTTGAGACAAGAAACAGATTATGGAGGCCGGAGAGGAAAACATATCACAGAAGTCAGTGTAAAAAATGTTGCGTCTCTTTGGGGACGTGCTGCTAACTTTTCAGCTAATCCGATTAGCACTGGGGGGTTGCTGGGGATTTGTCTTCCAAAGCCAACCTGGGACCGGCCTTATCTGTTCCTGTTGTGACTTTATGCTGCATGGACTAAAGCACAAACACACATGACCCATGATCTATGGACCCTGACAACCAAAACTGGTGCCTGTGGGTGTGTGTGTGTGCGCATACATTTGTGGCTGTCTGCTGTCTGGGCCTGGATGATATAGAGCTAATTCATTCAGAAAAAAAAACACACCACTCCAGAATATTTGGATGTGTTGACAGGATCAGGCCTGTAACTGGACAACATGGCCCCATATGACTGGCCTGTTAGAGGGATGATCAACAGAAGGGGCCAGGGACAGAGACTTTCCCGGTTCAACAACAAAGACAATAACATTTCAAATAGCAGATTAACTTCTCCACTGAATGTTGATTTGTTCACAAAATGCAGCTGCGAGATTATCCATTGTTTAAATCATTATTGTCATTGTTAAATTAACAGTATAATGTTGATTTCCGAACACAAGTAGGCAGCTGTACGTGAACTTTGTCTAAAAACCTTGACATTTTTAACCTTGTCAGAGGCGTAGCTCTAGGGATGGCAATGTTGGCCAGTCAGTCCGTCCACTACTTTGGCCCACACTGAAATTTATTGAAAACCATTAGATAGATTGCCATGAGTTTTTGTACAGACATTCATGTTCCCCAGAGGATGAATCTTACTGATTTTATTGACCTCCTGACTTTTCCTCTAGCGCCTCTATCAGGTCAGTTGTTTGTTTTGCCAAATACTTGCTTTGTTTTACCAAATGCCTGCAGGCCAAACTAATGACATTCTACACATTTAATGTTTATAATTAGCAAATGTAAGCTTGCTAATATGTCAAACTGAGATGGTGAACATTACCCGGTAAACATCAGCATGATAGTATTGGAAGAGATGGAAAATTTTGAGAACTGGATGATACGATGATTTCCTAAATGGCAGTCCATTAATTCCAATTAGTTATTTTTTTAATAAACTTCTGGGTTTGGCTGTTGGACTGAAGCTGTGATCAAGCCATGTCTCGTGTAATGGAAGCTTTTTTTTGTCATACTGAGCATGACCTACAAGACTACATTTCCTATAAATACCAATACTTCCTTTCTGTAAAATAAAACAATCTCTCTTCATGTTACGAAGTATTTCAGCTGATAGCATGAAAGATCTCACCTGGTGCCACAAATTCATTCTTAGAAATTATCTCATATGTTTAGAGTGATTACTGTAAAGTCTTAAAATTAATTTTGTAATGATGTATGCTGTTATGTAGCACTTTTAACAACTCTAACACATCTATTGAGAAGGCAGAGCATGTTAGAGGGGATACAGACAGAATTAAGAGAATAAAGAGAGACGACAAATTGGTATTCTGTACTTCCATTCAAAGCAAATAGAGACAGATTCACACAATACTCTCACATACAAATCAGACAATAACAGACATAATGAGGGGGATCCTTCCTGGACAGCTTCTGCATTCAGTCGCTCATTATGCACCCAACACACAGACAATGCCCTCAGACACTAACTAAAGTGGTCACCATTATTGGCTTTCCCATTTGATTAAGACTGTCAGCTTAGGTCTCCAGTATATCTGCAGCTCCACCACTGATAAGAGTCCAAATCACCTCTGACGCAACAAACCAGCCTCATTTACTCACGCTAATCCCCCACATGCCTGGTGAGCCATGAAATGAGACTGAATGCTTCTGAGAACATAAAAACATTTTGTAATTAATGATCTATAAACCCACATGTCTGCCGGACATGTCAAGCTGGTTTTTGGGGAGAGGAGTATAAAAGAAAGATCTGGAATATTTTCATTTGATGTAAGCCATAGAAAACACAGTATCTAGGATTCTGAGGATGATATAGGTTAAAATACATTTTGGAACAAGCACGTACATCATATTCTGCATATGAAATGTCATCCATTTTATTCCATATACACATTTTGGAAAAGAAAATCTGCTTTTCTGAAGGAAATGTAGGAGCAGATAAGCGTTTCAGACTTTTTCAGGACCTGGTGACTCCCTGAATAAAAGTTGTGTGTGGACACCGCGAGTCCCTCAGAGAGTGTAGGGTGTAAAAAGCTAGCATGTAAGTGTGGATGACAGGGAGGAGGATTTCTCAATACGCAACCCTGGTGTGGTGCCGAACACCTGGGGGACACTGTGTACTGCCTCACATCAAAGAGTACAGACACACACATTCACACACAGTGAAAGCATACAGCCCTACAGTGGAGATGAGAGCTCCTTGTCCGACTGATGCGTCTGTGCTTTCAGAAGCAGCATCTGGCACAAATCTCCCAGCAGCCTGTTCCCTGGGTGACAGTCAGTGGCAATGAAGGGTCCAGGCTTTATTCTTTCACATAGAGAGATAAGGAAGTGCTGCAAATCTCCTCAAAGGCACTTCGTTATGCATCACTGATCCCCCCTTTCATGCAGCAGAGCATATCACAGTTCCAGCTCGGGACCTTCATGATCGCACTCAGGTTAAGACTATTGGAAGTGTATGGGGATGATACTGACCTTTCATTCAGAAGACTTTGCATTGTGCAAACTTAGCAGTAGTCAGTTTCTTTTGTAGTTGCACCTGTTCCATAATTTCCTAACTCCTAACAATCCCACATGCACCAGTGTAGGTGGAGTGATGCAACCGAAGTGCTGTATGCAGATCAGGCAGCACAGTGCAATTTGGTACTCATTTGGCATGATAATACATGAGTTTTGAGGCTGCACAGAACAATTTTTGCAACATTTCTGAGATTGTAGTTGCTGATTCCAAATGATTCGAACGAGTCTGGAGTTGTGCTCATTGATGGCTGCTGAACAAACAACTGACCATTCAGAGCTTTGTTGGAAGAATGAAGAATGTGGATCAATCAGATGAGATGTTATAGTCTTTTGAGGCATATTTGTGATGTGTGATTTTGGGCTGTATAAATAAAACTGACTTAACTAAATTGTGAACATTATAACGTTTTGCATAACGGGAAAACTTTTGCTGCCCTGTGCTTAAAACTTAGTGGTGTCTGTGCAGACCTTTGTTTGCCCGTGGCTGTTTTTTTCTACTATATTTATATAGCAAGTAATCTAAAGTTAACATATTTGTATTAAATGTGTCAACAAAATTAAATCT